GTCTCTCGTGGTCGAGGTCGTGGTGGCGGCTGGTACGGTGGACGACGCCCTAGCTACTATCCCAACTCATCTTACACGCCGAGCATTATCAGCCGTCGATCTTCGTTTGGTATGCCACCATCTCAGGATGGGTGGCCCTCACCTGCTGTGTCTGTCTACTCCAGACCTATAATTTCCAACGACTCTAAGCCCGTTGTTCGTCTTCCCCCTCCATCTCGTCCGCCTGTCGGGATCCCACCATTTGGGCCTGCGATGGCCATGTCCCTTCCTCACCCGGCCTATCGCGAAAGCCGCCCCGCCCCAATCCCGATGCACCAACCTCGTCCCCAGAAGACCGTTTCTGTTGCGGACATTGAAAGTCCGGCAGCTTTCCCGTTCACTTTCAACCCGCCTCAGCCCCAGCATGAGCAGCCTTTCCACCATCAAGTCCCTCTCCCAGCGCATGGCCCACCCAGCCAGCCTTCGGCCACTCCACTTTCCCAGATCCCGGAGCGGGCGATTCATGCACCGCCCTTTCAACCTTACAATTACCACCAGCCTAGCTTCTACCCTCCGAGTTATCCTTCGGGCGGCATGTACTACCCGCCTTCGGGGCCCGATTACACGGGTTACAATGGACCTATTGGCCCCGGAGCTTCTGTGCCAAACTTCCCGGGCCAGCAAGTGATGCCGTATTTAGCTGGGGAGCAGCCTCCTCCACCAGGTACTGTTGCTCATGAGTCTGGTGGCACCGTCTACTTTTACGATGCCAATCATATTTATGGAGGTCCCGCACCACCAGGATCTGGGCCTGGGGGGGTGGTTGGCATGGGTGGAATGATGACACCGCCAGGCACGACCTTCTACTACCCTCAACAATCCGGTCAATATTATGGGCAGTGATGAATGACTTTGGCTTTTTTTTTTCCTTTTCTTCTCTCTCTTATTTTATTTTTTTCGGATCTCACAACATCTTCAATTTCCACCAATTCTCTCTTTGTTCTCAATTCTCTCTCCCTTTTCTTTCAACTCTCTCTCCAGGATCTACAGGGGCCTTGGGCTCACTTTGCTTTTTCTTTCTTATCTGCATCCTCACATTCTCTAGCCAAGTTTTGCCCTTTTTTCCTCCCCTAATTTTTGTCCTAGTGTTTGACTCATTTCGGTCCTGGATTTTGATGCATTTGAGCGTTTTCCCTTGTCTCCACCACTTTCCCCCTATTGTACTTGGCCTTGGAGAGAATCACGTCTTGATTCTAGCCCTTGTCAGCCCTTCCAAAACCCCCTCAATCCCCTCAACTCTCCTCCAATCGGGCGATCGAATTGCCGTTCTGCATTCACCCATGCATGACATCATATTTTCGCTGGTTTCTATTTGATGATCTTGTATACTCCCTTTATAGGGTGTTTTGATGAAGACGAAATAAAACAAAGCCACTACTGCCAGTAATTCGATCCGTCCACCTGGGCACTACCACATATGTACTCCGTAGACTACGTAGTTCTGACAAGTCTTGGCATTCTCGGCCCGGCGATAAACACGTCACATTCTTATGTAATCCATACTGAAAGCAAGCCAATCCCTCACCGCCTGCCCTGTCAGTTCGCAGCAGCTGACCGTCTCTCCGCTTTTCCCCTTCAATTCGACTGCTTCTTGTACAACTCCCCTCTTATTTTCCTTAACTCTCCTCTGCTTCTTCTACTTTCTCCCTCTTCATCATAACAGATCATCATTTTATCTTCTGGTATTCCTTTCTTACTCGTAACTCAGTACAATCTTCCCCCTTTCCTTTCCATCATAGTACTGCTGCCTTATCTCAGAGGTGTATCCACCCTTTGACATTGGCATCATCTACGATGACAACTCCATCTACTACTTCTCATTTCAGTCCAGAGAATCTGGTTACTGTCAAAGTCCTCTACAATGACAGTAACCGTCGCTTCAAGATGCCTCTCAGGGAGCTGAAGGCCGAGATGTTCCCCCAGACTGTAAGTCTCCACTCAAGCTCCGGATCTGAAGTCCGACTTATCTTCAACGATCATCAGATTATATTTGTATCGAAATAATTTGTTCCAACCCTCATCAGAAATAGCGTGTTGTTTTCAACTGACTTAATTTTTCGTCTAGCTTAGGAAACTGCTCGGCGTTCCGGCGGATGTCAACGTCATCCTTGAACGCTATTCCGACAGTGCTGGCTCTTACGTTCGCTTGGACTGTGACAACATCGCAGTCTATAAACAGCTCTACCGGGCTGCCAAGGCAAAGTCTAAGCTCCGTATTAAGGTTACTACTCTTCCTTCCAAAAACACATCCGCCCCAACCCCAGTACCATCAGAACCCACTGTGCCGATGGAGTCAACCAACCACACTCGTCACAGTTATCTCGAAACAGTCCTGAGACCTCTACCACCTCCCGATACCCTTCCTCTCATTGACTCAGCCCAATTCCCTTGTTCCACCGGTGAGAAAGAGTTTCCTCTCGGTCAACCTCGCTACCGCAACTTCGAGATGGACCAAGAAAAACATCAGTTCCCGGTCATCTCCCACGCCTCGTCCAACGGGATGTTCTGCATTGACTGCAATCACTGTGGCCGGTCTATTGCAAATGCGCATTATCACTGCAGCATTTGTGAGAACGGGGACTATGACTTGTGTCTACAGTGTGTCGGTGCCGGCGCATCTTGCCGCGGTGAAGGTCACTGGTTGATCAAGAGGACCGTCAAGGATGGTGTCGTCACAAACAGTACCACCGAGACTATTCCTCCCCGTGATCAATCAGGACTGGAGTTCAACCCCATGCTGCCTCGGCAGATTCAGCGTGAAGTGATCACTAAGCCGGTGGTCCACATCCCTGAGTCGGTCACTGAGTCAGTCCCTGAGTTGATCCAAGAGTCGATCCCAGAGCCAGCGGCCCCGTCAGCTTGTTTGGATGCAGCCACCATTCAAGGTGATGACAAGCCAATGTGTAATGGATGCTGTCGTGGTAAGTCTTCTGTTTCTCGCCTCCCTTTCTCTTTTCTCTTTGCTCACAACACACAGAAGTCGACGAAATCAATCTCGTCCGTTGCAATGACTGCGAGGACTATGATCTTTGCCTTCGCTGCCTGCTCCGAAATAAGCACGGGCACCACCCTGGCCATACCTTCCACCTCGGATCTGACCGGAACTTTTGCTTGAAGAATTTGATCACGTCTCGCTGCCTTCCCGGTCGGCAGTTCCGACACTCCGCTGTCTGTGACGGCTGTGACAAGGTATTTACTCACACATTCCACTTGCTTAGGAGGTTCGCGGCTAATTTTAGCTAGCGCATCGTTGGTGTTCGTCACAAGTGCTTGGCCTGCCCCGATTGGGACTTCTGTCCCGATTGCATCTTGACTTCTTCGCAGAGCCACCCTGGCCATCGGTTTGTGCAAGTTTACGAGACTATCGGTGAGCCAGCTCGTGAGCACGAAATTCACTATGGCATCTTCTGTGATGGTCCACTGTGCAAGAGCAAACCTGCTCAGAGCTACATCAACGGAGTTCGCTACAAGTGCGCTGTCTGTGATGACACCGACTTCTGTGCGAGCTGCGAGGCCCTCCCGACCAACCACCATAACCGCACTCATCCGCTGGTCAAGTTCAACACCCCGGTCCGCAATGTGACTGTGAGCACCATGGGCGACGACGGCTCAAGTGGAGCAGTTGTCCTAGGTGACCAGCCTCGTGCCCCCACTTGCCCCGTTGAGCAGGTCGAGATTGCGGAGCCGGAACCCGTTGAGGTGGATGCTAGCACAACTGTGGAGAAGGATGAGCCTCAGCCATTCGTGGACGAGCCCCTTCTCGGAACTGACAGCTCTGATATGACGGACTACAGGGCGTTCTTTATCCGTGACACTGTCACTGACGGTACAAAGATGGCCCCAAACACCACGTTTCGCCAGACCTGGACTCTCTACAACCCCGGTCCTTTAGCATGGCCCGTTGGCTGTGATGTGCGCTTCGTCGGTGGAGACAAGATGTTCAACGTCGATGTCTGCCACCCGTCTAGCGTCGAGTCTATTCGCTCGGCCATGGAAAGCACCAAGTTGGTTGCCCCTGTGGAGCCAGGCGAGAAGGCTGACTTTACTGTCAACCTTCGTACTCCTCAACACGAAGGCCCTGCTATCTCCTACTGGCGTCTGAAACTCCCTAACGGTGTGGCCATTGGTCATCGTCTGTGGTGTGATCTCGAGGTAGAAACCGCTTCTCTGGAAAAAGCTGAGACCCACGAGACATACTCTGGCGTATCTGAAATTGCCAGCAGTGGCATGATCTTCCCCAAGCTAGAGAAGGAATCTCCGGAGTCAAGCACTTACCAAGCCGAGGCTCCTGCCCCGCAGGCACCGAGCTTGTCGAATTCTTCGGAAGTGGACGTTTTAGAAGACGTTGAGAGCCTGACTTTGGACGATACCTTCACTGACGCCGACACCGGCTTCCTGACGGACGAAGAATATGACGTTCTTGACGCCAGTGATCAGGAATATATTGAAGCCAAGCAGGCCACAAACTGAAAATGTTCGAAGGAAATCATCACGACACGATATGGGAATGGGAATTTGCGCAACTGCACTCTTTTTTACTTCTTTTTCTTTTCGGACTTTGCCGCTGAGGTCTAGTCACTCCGAGCATGACTAGACTTAATGAGATTGATAATTTTTTTTTGGCCTACGAAAACAAGCAAAGAAAAAAAAAGAACCACATTTTTTGCCTGAGATAGTTCAATGCACTTTCGCTGTTTTGAGGATTTGGATTGTGTAGTACGCTAACCCTATTAAGCATTGATATAAGCATCGACATAAGCATCGAGTCCTTGCCTCCTCCCTACATGTATGCAGTCACCAAGTCTCCCTGCGAGCTGCCAAGAGTTCCAAGTTTCTGCCCTCGCAGAGATTCCCGAACTGAATAACCTCGGGAATTCAGTGAGGGGTCGAGAAATGGCTATAAATTTGGACTTTGTCCCTATTTTCGCTTTATATCCCCAGATTCATTCACATTCGATACAATGGGATTAAGCATCGTCGGCCTCGGCCTAGTCGCTCTGGTCGCCTTCTTGGCTGGTCCAGTCAGCCATTTCGTGCAGATTGCAGGGGTCTTCCTCACGCCTAATCCGACAGTGCTAGCTGCAGGCCAGGGCCCAATCTACATCCAAGACACCATCCATTGCGAGGATGTGCATTACTACCGCCCGGCGAACCTGCTGTTCACTGCCTGCGAGGACGACAAAAGCACGCGGTTTAGCTGGTTCCCGCCAATTGGCCACTTCCTGCCAGTCACGACCCAAGGCTCTATTCATGTCGTGGATCCCAAGGTGACTTTGTTCGAGGCAGATTCGGACCAAATATCAAAAATTAACCCCAAATATAGACTATGAAATCGACTCGTCTGGCATTCGAGAACTTCCAAGGCACCTTCGTGACACATGGAATCGATGTCATCGAGGACCCCGAGGACTCAGACGCCGTCTACATTTACGCCGTCAACCACTTGCCCAACCCGGCATACTTTGAAGCCGGCGAGCCCAAAGACGTCCCCAAAGCCCAGTCCCAGATTGAGCTCTTCCATCACGTCCTCAACTCCGATTCTGTCCGACATGTGCGCTCAATCAGCCACCCGCTCATTAAAACCCCCAACGACATCTACGCGGTCAGCCCAGTCTCCTTCTACGTCACCAACGACCACTTCTACCGCGAGGGGCCCCTGCGACTCTTCGAAGCCGTCTGGCGCTCAGCCAGGTGGTCCAACATCATCTCCGTGCAGATCGCCGATCTGGCAAGCAAAGACGCACCTGTCGAAGCCTCCGTCGCACTGATGGGTCTATGGAACAACAACGGTCTCGGGCACGGCCGCACTGACGACGAAGTCGTCATTGCTAGCGCTATGGGTGGCGAGATCTTCCTCGCAACCCGGCATGAGTCCAATCACTCACTCTCCATCGATACCTCGATTGCCTTTTCTAGTTCTCTCGCTGATAACCCGTCCTATTATGAAGACCCATACCGCACTGACTCGCATGATGCGAGCGGCTTCCTCGCCGCCGGTATCTCGCAGGCCATTCGCTTTTTGGGGAATGCTAAGGATCCGAATGCCAAGGATCCGATCCAGGTGTGGTATACGACTCTCAATTCGCACACTGGGGTCTGGGAGAAGAAGGTGCTGTTTGAGGATGATGGGTCTAGGGTTCGGACTGCGAGTGCCGCTGTTTTGGTGCCTATTGAGCCTAAGGCTAGTGAAAGACTAGCTTGGCTCTTTGTTACTGGGTTCATGTCGGAGAGTATGGTGGCTGTACAGGTTGAGCTGTAGATTAGAATTGTAAAACATTACGCACTCAAAAAAACAAAGAATGTTGGTTGTTCTTTGCCCTGACTTTGTCTATATAAATTCCACTTCCTCCCGGATTCAACTATTCCTCTTCTATCTTACACTATATCAAAAGCTCTATATATATTTCATCAACTTACCATCTTTCCAGCTCTTACTTTATATACATATTTCCACAAGTTCCAACTTATCACTCTACTCGCGTACAGAATCGTTGTTGAGTCGAGAGAATTTCAGAAGTATGTATTTTGTAAGACTGCTATTTCTACCAAAACCAACCATCCCAGTTCAAACCAAGAAGCCAAACGAAACGCCATTGTAGGCCGTCTCCTCTCTATCAACCTTGATCTTGTCATCTCCTGGTACGAAACACAACTTCGAGACCTGCGATGGGGAAGAAATAGGAATGCGCAAACTCCTAGCTCAGCCAAAAGCCTTCCTGGTCTTCACCTCTCCAAATAGCCATGTCGTCGTCAAATCCGGCCCTGTGTGGAGTCTTACATATATACAAGGAATACTATTTATTCAATATGGGGTATATCTCCCGCCCATCCTCGTTGATCTAAGCCGACAGCTGACATCTTACTATATAGACAGGACCAATAATCACCAGTCATTATCAGAGGTCTAGATACACCGGATCTTGTTGATTCCTAGCTCGGATATGGATGCAGCAAGGAGGGAATTGCAACAGCGTATCGACGAAGATAGTCGAGGCCCTGCTGAACGCTGTGTTGCGCTCCTCTATGTTCGGTGGATGATATCCGCCTACATTGCATACTGCGCGTTGCCTCTGACGATCCTGTTGTCTTTAGAAACCTGCGACTATTTTCCCTGCCCGACCCAGCCAATTCCTGCCGCCACTGTACCAATAGTCGCAGGTTTCTAAAGACAACAGGATCGTCTAAGGCCGCGCAAGACACAGTACTATCAGAAGTTCTAAGTTCTAGCCCGGTATCAGGTTTAAAACCAAAGCAACTGCTTGGATTGCTTCTTGATACGTCGATTCAGCTTTGATTCCAAGTATATTCGTTATTGTCTCCTCACATGGAAAACAGGGCCGCGATATAATTAGGCTCGAGTAAACATAGTGGTTGAAAATCCCAACACCTTTAGAGACAAAGTTCAATTGGGTTGACAGAAAGCATGTAGATGTCTGAAATTGAAGTGCTAGCGCCGCTGCAATGCAAATTGGAAGAAAAAGCCAAGGTAAATAACAAGATTTAAAATAACACCAAGTAGTACACCACATTCATCTCATCATTTGATTTCTCTGCTTCATCTGTCTGACTTGCCCGGAGTCTGGGAAGAGAATGAACAGTACTTGTCCTTGATCGCGATGACCTCGTAAGTTCCCTCATCAGAGGTCTTGATGGTCTTGACGTTTTCGTATGAAATGTCGTGTTTGATATCAAGAATCTCCGACTTCTTTCCCTTGCGGGCATTGGAGCTCCGAATGTATCTGTGGAATGTTAGCAGACTGTCATACAGAGCATAGCTAGAGACTATTGACTTACGTGAATTCGAATGGTGGTGTACCCCAGAACTCAAAGTGAAGCTCGGCTTCTCCACCCTCGTGAATATCCACCACCGATTCTTTACCCTTGCTGATCCGCACGCTCGGCATGGCGTGGATAACCTTGGTGATGTCTTTGTGGGCCTTGCATTTCCCACTGGCTCCGTCACTGACGGCGTTGATGGTGAACTGGCCGGGAAGTTCCGCAATACGACGGAAGTTGGTGGTTTGTGTAGTGGCCTTGCGCTTGGCGCCATCGAACGTGTAGAACACATCAAATGGAGCATGGCCTGACAGCGCGAATGAAAGTCGTTCGCCCACACAGTAGTCCATCTTGGACTCGAGCGGGACAATTGTAGGAACGTCGGAGATGGCGACCCGCACCGAGGAGGCATCAAGCTCAGTGGTCCTTTGACATCCTCGAGAATCGCGAACCTTGTGGATGCTGACTTGGTGTTGCCCCAAGTCAAGATGGCGACGAGGAATCAGCAATTTATGGCGATTGGAATTAATCTTGGAAATCGTGACAATCTCCGGTTTGGCGTTCGAGTGGTGTTTGATGTTGATCTCCAGCGTGAATGGTGGGACACCCTCTAAGGTAATGGGGATGGATTCCTCGCCGTTGATGTCTTCCTTGCAGAAGCCAAAGACGTGGCCAGGTTGGTCGAATTTAGCAGACGGTAGCGGGTTGACCTTTTGTGTCACAACCAGATCGTTGCTCTTGGGATCGTGGTCGTAGAGGCTGTCGCCAACTTGGGTGAACTTGTAGCTGTATTCTCCAGCCTCGGAGGTATCCATCTCCATCGAAGTCACATGAAGAGCAGACTTCAAAGCCCGTGGCTTCGCCGCAGAGAATCCTCCACGGTCCGTCTTGCGTCGCTTCTCGTATTGAACACTGTATGGAGGATTGCCCGACAGCCGAACTTCTAGGCTGTCATCGTCGCCTTGACAGACCTCGGACTTTGCAAACTCTTTAGCGGCTCCAATGGGTGAGCCGTCCAGGGCAGTGATTTCGGGCCGTGGAATCCACGAGACCTCAAATTCCTTTGCAGACTGGTCCACGGTTCCAGGACAACCGGCGTCAAATACTTCCATGATCTCATACAAGCCCTGCTTGTCGACGGCCAAGACACTGTTTTCGTCCCGGAAGGTTTTCTGAACGGGCGCCGATTCCGCGTCAACATTCTTGTACTTGACAGTCCAAGGGCGCTCGCCACTCAGCCTCAATGGAAGCTCAATCTTGGAGCCCTGCAAAGCCAAGACACTTCTCTTCTTGTCAATCTGACCGAAAGAGACGTGCGGGGGCTGCGAGCGGGCTTCAATATTGATGCTGTCCTTGAGAGTTCGTTTGCAACCAGAGATATCCTTGACGCTGGTCAGAGACACGGTGTAGTCACCACCGCTGACCAGTTTGTCAGTCATGATGGTTGCCACATCGGTATCGGATTCGAGTGTCTTCCTGAATCGCTTCCCATTGTGGACGATCTCATATTGCAAGACCCAAGGGGCCTCTCCAAGGAAAGATACTTCCAGAGAAACAGCCTCACCGAAACAGGCAGTTCTCAATCTTCTTGATAGGAAATGAGCCGAAGCCGGCGGTTTTACATCTTGTTCAAGCACCGGAATGTTGAGAGACCGTGGCGAGTAGACGGCATCTTCGATGTCTATGAATCGATAGGTGTATGAGCCGGCTTCCGACGGGGTGAAATCAAGCTGCGTGCGCATGCCATCGATGGTTTGTACTTTGGAAACAACGCCCTTGGAGCTCTCAATGCTGTATCGGAGAGAGAAAGGAGGCGATCCCGTGAGGTCCAAATCCACAAGTAACCCAATAGCGTTGTTGGCACAGCGGTCGAATATCTTTTCAGCTTTGACTGTCAATTCTGGCTCAGGCGGGTTATGCAACTGGCAAGATGAAGGTTCGAGGATCTCTCCAGGACAAAACTTGGTAGAGATTGATGTCAAGGCATACAAACCAGGCTCTTTGATGTCTAAAGTCTGATTCATATGCTTCAGATCGACGATCTGTTCACGTGCTGCTTCTTGGTTGTTACCCGTGAACGAATAACCGACCGAAAAGGGACCATCGTTAGTATATGCGTGACCGTCGGGATGAAAGCTCAAGGGGAACCTCGTGCTGTCTCCCTTGGCCACTTGCAGCGGATTCTCGGAATTGCACGTTTGCAGTGACAACTGCGGGCGCTCGTGAACGGAGAATTGGTACCACTGGGATTGCGACTTTGTGGACGGCCGATCTCCTTCATCAAAGATGGTAGAATAATTGGCCACGTTTCCAATAGCATCATGGACCTCTTCGATGGTGTAAAACCATTCTCCGCCGTCGTTCAACGATTCATTTAATGGAACCTCAATCTTTTGACTCTGTGCCCACGAAACGTCGGGCTGGTTGATGCTGTACAGAGCAGCCGTAGTTCTTCCATTGAGCAGCGGAGAGCGCAGATGATCGGGCTGGATGTTGAGGACCGAGAAGCCACGATCGAGATTGTTGACCTGGCGACTGTATTTGATCTTCAACGGAGGTGTGCCTTCCACCTCCAGTTTGAAGTCGGATAATTCTCCTTTGCACTTGTCGATGTGTGAGTTTTTGATCAAGGCTCGCGGGCAAGAGACCACCAGCGCATCAAATGTTCGCGTATGAACATCAAGCTGAGACTCGTCCACCACCCGTTGGAGACGATAGACACCCGTTTTGCGCACAGGGAAGAGCAAGTCGCGGTGGAGTTGACCCGGAACATGCTTCTTTTCTGCCTGCTTTTTAAGAGTCTTCAGCTGCTTCGCTGGAATGCTAATGGTTTCATTTTCGCCGGTGTTAAAATCTAGACGCAACACTTCGATAAGGATCGGGTCGGTCTGGTTGACACGGATGGGCAGGTCGATTGTGGATTGCAGAGAATCGAGGCAAAGCGAGTTTCGATCCGGATTGAGAACGGCAGATCTATTATAATGTCAGTATGATCTGAGGTGGGTATATTCGAACGGGATAGCTTACCCCTCCGGCAGAATGTGCACAATTTGCCTTCCCAGGATCAATGACGCATTGTGAATGATATCGCCGGGCTTGACCCTGCGCTCAGAAACGGATAATTCGCGATCGTATGCCACCTTTACTAGTCCAGTAAACCATGCAGCCCAAGGAATCTGCAGGCATTAGCGCGGATCGACAGTTTAAAAAAAGAAGAAAAAACTCACTGGGATGCGGAACATCAAAAAGACATTGCCCACAGCATGAAGAAGGAATAGAGTGAGCGTGGTCGGGAATGCCCACTCCAGCCAAGGTATACGCAGAGCCTGCAGCCCAACCAAGAAGATTCCATCGATCGTGGCCCATTTCAACAACAACCAGGTTGAGTCGAGGTCATCGGACGCAGTCAAGGACTCGTAAATCCGCCACGCATTCAAGGCAAAATATATTGCAACGACATAGAGTCGTTGAGATGGAGCATCAATCAAATTGGTGGGAATCAGTGGCACATCGGTGTTCGCGTTCGGGGGTGGTGGTCTTGACGCCCTCGAGGCCGATTTGGATGGTGATCTGAGTGGCGTTCGCCCAGCCCGGGTCTCTCGTGGCTGCGATCGCGAAGGAGTCTCAAATAGTTTTCTCCTTCCAGTTCCAGGGATTGTTTTAGGTGTCTGCGGAAAGGCAGATGGGAGGAGGGGAGTGCCGTTCATGGCATGCTGTGGTTGCCGGAGCTGGCGAAAGATGGGGGATGTAGTGAGAGTGCGATGCTGGCCCTTCTAGAGCTGTAAGAAGTTCTAAATGAAGTCCAAGGAAGGTGTTTGGAGCTGTCCAGTGGTAATTCGTGCCTATAGCAGATGGAAAAAGAAACAAAAAAGTTGGAGACGCGGGAAGCGCGTCGGGAGAAGCTCGGCCCACTCAACGACATGACCTAACCGCTTCTCCCTGTCCCTGTATTGTCTTCTATTGCCGACGTCTGGTGTCTAGTTCTATAAAAGATCTCATATTTTTCAAGATTTGATACCTGGCTCCCTTTCTGTTCCCCTCAGTGGGAAGAGCAAACTTACTATCATCTCAGGACTCCTTTTATCATAGCTTCCTCTCATTTCAATCTCATCTTGAAGCTCTAAAGCTCTACAGCTCTACAGCTACTACTTTTGAAAAGAACCGAAATGGGTCCTCGAGTTAAAAGGCGCCGCCTGATGGACTCAGACGATCTCAGTGATGATATCTGCCAGCCTGCGTCCCGTCTGGAAAAAGACAGCTGGAATGGGTTTTGTGAAATCGAATCAGAACCGGTATGTTTAACTGACAGTGGCCTTAGCGGTTCTTTGCTTACGGAATTAGGCCTTATTTAATGTGATGCTACGTGAATTCCAAGTCAAGGGTGTAAAAGTCCAAGAAGTCGTTTCTCTCGACGAAGAAATGATGGCATTTCTTAAGTATGTTACTTGCAGTCCCTCTCTATGCTCTTACATATAGACTCGATGGCTGACTATGAGCAGTAAGCCTGTTTACGGCTTGATTTTTCTTTTCCGCTGGCGTGAAGATAACGATGGAAAGCAGGAAGCGACTTGCCCTGACGGGCTGTGGTTTGCAAACCAGGTCAGTCCCCTATTCTTTGGCTGAATGGTCCTTTACTGATTCTTTATAGACCGCCGACAATTCCTGTGCCAGCGTAGCACTACTAAACATTGTCAACAACATCCCAGATATTGATCTAGGAGAGAATCTACGGTCTTTCAAGGAATTCACTATGCCTTTCACCCCAGCGTTGCGTGGGGATGCAATCAACAACTTTAAATTTGTGAAAAGGATACACAACTCATTTGCACGGTAAGCCCATTGGCAGCTTCTTGACCACCCAGATACTAATTTGATATTAGAAAAATGGACATTCTCAATTCAGATTTACACCTCAAGACTGAAGCTACCACTAGGAAAAAGGGATCCAGGGGCCAAAGTGCTGATGAATCCGACGCCACCTTCCATTTCATTGCCTTTATGCCTGTGATGGGCCAACTGTGGAAGTTTGATGGCCTGGAGCGACAGCCACAAGCACTTGGTATGCACTCTTACAAACTAGTTGGGATGACACTGCTGACTTTAGTAGGGGAATGTTCCGAGGACGACTGGCTGGAACTGGTCCGACCCAATCTTCAGGACCGAATGGCTGCATACGAAGAAGAAGAAATTGAATTCTCGATTTTGGGACTCGTGCGAGACCCTCTGACTGATCTCATCAACGACCTGGCTGTCAACGTGAGAACTTTGGAAATTCTCAACAAGCGTGCCTCATCCCTATGCTCATTATCAGATACGCTCGATTTGCATGAATCTGATGAAACTGTACTTGGCCCTGACCCTTCCCTATCTCTGACACGCGAAGAGATTGATGTGGCAGTGATCCCCCAGGAAGCACTGGATGATTACCAGACGTGCTCCGATGAGAAATTGCACGAGTATCGGCAGAAGATAAGCAGGAGGCAGCGAGAACTCCGTCTACGCATTCGCGAAGAGCAGCTATCTCACCGGTCGGATTATGACTACGCAGCCGGACGGCGGTTTGACTATGGGCTAGCGATACGGACGTGGCTCCGACTCTTGGCACAGAAAGAACAGCTGCAGGAGATGTCGACCCCCGTGGCCTATTGATTGGATGATATCTGCTATCCCTCTCCTTTTCTATCTCAGACGTGCTTATCAGGGGACGTAGTGATGTGACCTCCGTTTCCCCCTCAATTGATTTGGCGTCGAGTACTTCCTCCATGTCGATCATCCTAGAAATACGCAATATATACCAGAAATCTAAGAACCATAACAACAGTCAACGTCAAAATATAAAAGCCCTGGAAAGTGACGCCTCAGGTACCCCACCGGGCAAAAAATAGTTCAAACGTCACCGCCTCGAATGTTGTTGAGCTTCTCTTTTCCAACCTCCTTTTTGGATGATGAACTTTTGATTTTGGCGTGGAAGTCTTCGGAAACTTGAACCATCCTATTATCCTTGTTTCGGAATAGAGGCAGGGCCCGAGAGATCCCCTCTCTCCAATTTGCCACCCTTTCTATTCTACTCCCCATCTACCTCACCCTCTCTCTTTCTCTTTCTCTACAATTCCTCGCTTGAACATACACCATGTCTGCTGTCGCAGTGCCTGAAAAGGCACCAGATGACTCCTCCAAGCTGAAGACCTTCCTCTCCATCCTTCGAAAGTAGGCAACCCTTCCTTGGCCCCCGCTCCGCTCCGCTGCGCTGATATAGCCAGATCTCAGACACTAATATGATCGGGAATTAGGTTCGTCGGTGTCGCAGATATCGCTTCAGTTCGCTTTTCACTCCCGGCACAACTGCTGGAGCCGCGACCAAACCTGGGTAGGTCATTGTTCGTGTTACGCTGTGCGGGGTCAGTGCTGACTGTGGATGGCTACAAGAATACTGGCATTATCTAGATCGACCGGAGACATTTGCGAGGTCAGGAAATATGCCCATATTTGGCGGACGCTTGTGTGCTGACCAGGAGCTACAGCATTGGCAAATCGGATGATGAGCTAGGTCGGATGTTGGAGGTGTTGCGGTTCTGGTTCACTAAGGATCTGGTATGTTTCGGCTGCTCGGATTCACTTGACTACTTGCTGATTGTGCTACAGAAATACGTCAAAGGGAAACCCTGCAAACCATACAACTCAACCCTGGGGGAATTCTTCCGAGTGAGTCCCAGTTTCTTCGGCATTTCAATCACGGCAATCCATTGCTAACACCCTTTAGTGCAGCTGGGACGTTAGCGACAATATCCCCGAAGAAACAAATCTTCCCGGTACCAAAGGAATCACCAATGGCTCCTCCACCGTAACCGACGGCGACGAGAAAGTCAAAGTATGCTACCTCACAGAACAGACCTCCCACCACCCGCCAGTCTCAGCATTCTATATCGACTGCCCCGAACGAGGCGTCTCAGCGCGTGGATTTGACCAACTCAGCGCCAAGTTCACCGGTACTAGTATCCGGGTGAGCCCGGGACAGCACAACCTCGGAATCTTCGTGAGCATCGAAAAGAGAAACAACGAGGAATACCAGTTGACCCACCCAAATGCCCACCTCGGAGGATTACTGCGCGGAGCGCTTTCAGTCACAGTCGCCGACACATGCTACGTCACCTGCCCCAAAACGGGCCTGAAGGCGATCCTGCAGTACTTGGAAGAGGGCTGGATTGGCCGGTCACAGAACAAGCTCGAGGGCGTAATATTCCGCTACAACCGGGACAATGATACGATCAATCGACTGAAAGATGTACCAGAGAGTGACATTGTCGCTCGTATCACCGGCTCCTGGCATGGAAAGATATTCTTCACTCCGGCGGGCACCAAGGAGCCCCGTCTGCTCATCGACATAACCCCGCTTAATCCCGTTCCAAAGACCCTGCCTCCATCCGAACAACAGCTGTCCAACGAGTCATTGAAGTTCTGGTCGGGTGTGACGAACGCCATTGTCGAGAAGCAGTTCAACCAGGCTACCAAGCTCAAGCAGGATATCGAGGAACGGCAACGGCAGCGGGCTGCGGAGCGCCTTGAGAAGGGTACTGAATGGCGCCCCCGGTTCTTCACTGGCGCCGTGACGCCGTTGGGTAAGCCGGAGCTCACAGAGGAAGGGCAAAAGGTTTTGGAGGGAATTCGCTCGGGCAACTTCGCTTTGACGGAAAGTACAGAGCAGGGCGCATAGATCTCATTGTGTTTCCCTTGTGTAAGCAACGTTGGCGTATCTGGCATGCGACCATACAACCATCGAACACGGCGTCTCTTTGTTTTACTCCCTTTTGATCTCTTTTCTGGTTATACTTTTATTCTCACATAGACCTTATTCTTTAGAAATCTGTTTTGGATTACAAAATTGAAATAGTATATCATACATAGGTTCAAATAGAACGATTAATTCTATTCATAAAAAGAATCACAACCGTTGGTCCATGCTAACGCCGCCAGACTCCAATCATCAAGTACGTCAACACATAATCCATTTCAGATCCCGAGCTCAGTCTCAGGCTGCGGCACTAACTACCTTGAACCCTGTACTGACGGTCTTGGTAATCTCCTCATTCTTATGCGGCAGAAGAGACAGGGCATACGCAACATCGTTCCACTGTCGCTCTGTTTCGCAACGAGGAAGTCGAGCGGCCAGCTTGTCGGCCAGCTGGCGAGCGTGTTTTTCCTAGGCTAACATTAGCATAGATCATTATAAACGAAGAAGAGAGAGAAAAACGTACCTTCTCGACAAAACCGATCAAGAACTTGACGATACGGCGGAGGGATGCTTCATCTAGATTGCGCTCTGCACTCAGCAGACTGAACATGTCAACAAAGTGGTTGTAGACGGCATTGTCCTTGGTTGCAAGTTCCGTGAAGAACATGCGAGCCAGATCCGCGATCTTCTTGTCATCATCCTCTAGACATTTCGCCATCTCGCCTAGTTGTCCCTTGACCTTGACTTGCCCAGCCAAGATGAGGAAGGTAAGGGTCATGAGACAGGTGCGCTTGACAGAGTCATCGTCATCATTCAAACGACGGTAGAGGAAATCTGTGTTCTCGTCGATGAGGTGGTTGAAGCAAACGGCCATGTCGCCTAGTGCAATGACAGCATTGCTACGGACGATAGGATCTTCGGACCGCTCCATGATAGTGATCAGGAGTGGCAGGTTCTTCTCACAGTACTCGGCAGATACACACATGAGTTTGGCAAGGCAGAGCGTCGCAGAGGCCTGCAAGTCACGATCCGGGTAGGAGTTATTGTTGGCCAAAATCTCCACTACAAGCGGGCCAAATTTGGCCAAGAGGGAATTCTCTCCATAGAGTAGCTCGCGTTCTCGGATATGGGCCATGGCTTCCTGGAAGTCGTCTTCTGTTGTTCCGCCGATAAGATCAAGTTCGTCTGCTTCGGCATTGTCTTGTTCATGGGGAGCAGTGGCTGCTTTGTTCTTCTCTTGTTCGACTTTGCGGCGTTTGAAGTCAAGCTCACACAGCTCTAGATGCACGATCTGTTTGATTGCGACGTGACCGACAACGTACAGCAACTGTGAGAGTGCAGCGGATGCTGGCTTAGGCTTGGATTCCTGGCCATCGACGGATGCAGTCTCAGGCCGTTGTTGCTCCTCGTCTCCGCTGATAGAGGCATCGGAGGAAGGTGGACGCTGTTGTAGGTGTGGCGCAAAGACGAATCTCGTCTTTCGTCGTAGGATATCAGAGCAAATAACGTCAGGATGCTTGGACAAAGTGTAAATAGCGTTGAGGGCATGCTCTGCCACTCCATACCATTCCTTGCTGGCTGTTTCGATCTCAAGCATGGCTACCAACTTGACCAAAACCGAGTGGTCGCTAGCGAGTTTGGGAATCCCAACAACCTCCTTTGATTTGGCTTGACGCCCGGGGATCATGCGCCGCAAAGCAATACAAGTGTACTTGGCGAGCACAAGGTCAGCCCTTCCTAAGCCACCTAGACCAATTCGCAGCATGGCCTCGATCTCTTTTACCACAATCTCTGGATCTGCCAGAGCAAGCATTCCGAGAACAATGATCGAACCCCGGCGCTGAGTCCGTGAGATTTCCTTCTTCTGGATACTGTAGACTTGCCATAGCTTGGCAATCACTGCGTCAGATACGTTTCCAGCCTTCATCATCGTGCTGAGCAACTGCTCGAGACAGGTAAGTTCGGCAGGAGTTGCACCAAACGTCAAACTGATCATGTTGCGGGCGATGTAGTTTGCAGCATCGTTGGGTGTGAAAGAGCCTGGTGCATCGAAGAAAAGAGCCTTGTAACAATCAATAAGATGTGTCTGGACGCCTTTTCCTTCATCGCTGTTGCCCTTGGTCCAAATCAGGCGCAGCATGCGGCGAATTCCACTACGGGCAGTCTCAACTTTGTATGCATCGAGAACAACAAAGAAATCCATGGCTTCAATAACCTCGCTCTTGTTCCGGGATGCGAGTAACTGTGTCACGATAATGGACCCGGAATGAAGCACTTCAATAAACCGGATTGCCTCGTTGTAATACTTCCTCGTCAGTTGGAGGCGTGTCATCAATTCAGAGGTGGCCGCCTGTTCTGCGGCTTTCTGCACAGCAACAGCCTTCTGTTCATCACTCATCCGGGGCGCTTTTGACGGGGAATCATCCGGGATCTGTGTAGCGTCATCCAACAATTCGGGATCAACCTGAGTCATGTCGCCTGCCCCAAAGCCGGGCGTTTCAGCAGGACGCAGGGAATTCAACTCGGCGTCAACCGCGTCCATTCTATCAGTCCACTCCTTTAATGAGAGGAGCCCGCCATGCATAACACTGAAAGGATGTGTGGAAACAAGCTTGGACAGCAGTTTGATCGCGTTGCGTCGCACATTGCTGCTCTTATCCTCCAAGCTTCTAGCGGCGAGTTCCGCTGCAGCCTGTCGCCTTTTCGGGAACTTCTGCTCCAGATCGCAAATCCGCATGAATACCTGGATCGCGCGACACCGGCAGTAAGGGTTGATATCAAGGAACCTTTCTTCTAATACGTCGAAAAAGGCGTTGATCTGGGTCTTATAATTATCACTGCGTTCTTCCTGCCGACTGAGATCGGAAATGAGGTTTCCACAGACCTCAATCACTGCACAGCGAAGAGTATATGCCTGTACCTGTTAGTGGAGCTTTGGGCAAATTAAGAGTATCACTCACGTCACTATCTAGCTGTTTAGCCAGAAGGGTCATTTGCTTGATGATCAATCTTGGCGCAAGTTCGGACAGTTTGATAATGAATGTCGATACAGACTTGGGGCCTCTCGTATCATTAGAATTAAATTCCTTATTTCCGAGCTCCCTACATGTAAAGTTAGCAACTATCCGGTCGGTTTGCTGATATAATCTCACTTTAGGATCTCGTCGGAAAGCTGTGGATAGTCGTATTGTTCTGCTAGAATATGCAGGAATTCGGCCATGGGTTCAGACAGATGTTCGAAGTAAGTCAAGCTTTGCACAATCGAAGTTTGAGCTCCTATGCTAGAGTCAGCTATCGCTCAGCCGGAATATGCATCAGGACACCTACCAAAGGCCTGGCCATGGTGCTTGACTGCAATGCAAAGAACCTTGAAAGCATGCATGCGAATGGCCATGCTCTTCACCCGCTGCTCGCTCTCGAGGACCAGATAGATTGTGCGCGTGAATAGGGTAATAAAAGTGTCACGATCCGAAGTGGTCAAAAAAATGCGTCCTAGCTTGAGCTTCATCACCTTGCACATCGTCTCCATGGATATTTGAATCTGGGGCGTCCAATCCCACTGGCCGCTATTGGCGGATTTCTTAGATTTGGGTCCTCCTCGTCGAACGGGTGCTGCCTCGGTGGGCTTCTCTGCAGCCTTGACCTCTACGGCAGACAAAGCCCACTGGAGAAGGAACCCGTACATCTCCAAAAGCTGCTTATGGTGTTGAATAACATCCTGCTCGTCGGATTCAAGGTCTCCGTGGATGACGTCTGCCTCAACAGACAGGCCAGAAACAACCAAATCCAAAAGTTTGCTCAAGTGCTTTGCAGGAAGTAGGGTCGCGTATCTGCAAGAGTGAAAAGGATCGTCAGATTCGAGTCCAAGCGGGCGCCAGCCTCCATGGGCAAGTTGGGAAGGGACCGGGGCGCACTTTAGTAGAAATTGCAGCGAGTCAAATAACGATGCTCGTGTTAATGCCTCGGGGTTCTCTGCCACAGCGTCCACGATCGGGTTCAAGATACTGTCAATCAGCGCTGGCGAAAGTTGATCCGGATCCGATTCGCAATCCAACAGTTCCGGGTCCGCATCAGGAGTCGGGATCGAAGCGGGATCACTCAAATAGTACTTGAGCGACTCATTTATGTTGAACTCGATTCTGTCCTCCATTGTGGTGTCAAATGAGAAAAAGAGGTGAAAGCGGGGAGGAAAGCCGATTTGTTGATAAGCCCCGTTGTTTGGCTTTTGCCTGTTTGGGTGCAGCTTATGTCATCATGTTGTATTTTACCGCTAATGCTGTGCCAGACCCCTCTCATGTGTTACCGCACCGCCTTGTATTGATTGATTTGGCTACCAGTCGTATTGTCATATTTGTCACGCGTGGTAATGCCAACCTAGGTTGTTGTGTTTGCATTCTTATCTCGGCAGTTGCGATAGAACATTGAAAGAACTTGACTTTGAAGCAACACGCGACACGATCTTATGACTTTGTTTCTCCACTTTGTACTCAGCACATTGAATTCGAAGACTCCTCATTGTTCTCCGTGCCACCATGTCGGCCATACGCGCTGCTCCTGGTGTATTTGAGCTGAAGCGCAACAAGTCCCGTCATGAGCCACAATTGCAACACAAATACTCGCTGGGACACGACGATGAACCGGTCTCGCCAAGCGATGCACCCCAGGAGAGTGAATATGAGGAAGAGGTGGAGGAATCGGTCAGAGAGGATATGAGAAAGCTTGAAGACACATTCCCAGGAATCTCGGATCGCTTCCGTCTGGTGAATAGGATCGGAGAAGGTAGGACTTGACCGGTTCCCCGTCATTGGCGGGCTTCTTTATTGACAAGCCCAATAGGTACATTCTCCACGGTTTATAAAGCAGAGGACCTTCATTATGATGCACACCAAAATGACTGGGATGTTTCAACACCAACACAAGACAACTATGCGGAGCCTCCATCCAAACGACGGCGATTCGGAAGGGAGCCAACCGGACGAAAAAAAACGAAATTCGTCGCATTGAAGAAGATCTATGTGACGAGTAGCCCGCTGCGGATTCAGAACGAGCTAGAACTGCTGCACGATCTCCGAGGATGCGGGTCTGTCTGCCCGCTGATCACTGCTTTCCGATACCAGGACCAAGTGGTTGCTGTGTTGCCCTATTTCCCCCATACCGACTTTCGCATTCAATACCGCACATTCATGGTTGCAGACATGCGCCATTATCTACGATCCCTCCTGACCGCATTGAACTCGGTACATGAACATGAAATCCTTCACCGTGATATCAAGCCGACGTAAGTTTCATTCTTCGACGGCCTGAATTATGCTAATATCTTGAAGCAACTTTCTCTACAATCCGGACCTGAAAGAAGGCGTTCTGGTTGACTTCGGGCTTGCGGAGGTATGATTATTGACCGCCATATGTTGATGCGTTTACTGATTGTCCCCACAGCGCCAAGGCTCCGAATACACCAACCCATGTCTATGTACTCATCAAAGCTACGTCCGTCGAAGCCGGATCCTTTCAAGTTACTACTCCAAGAACCCCCCATCCACGGGGTTTTCAGCCGGCTACCCTAAGAATGATTCACGGCCATCACGACGAGCGAATCGCGCTGGAACTCGAGGCTTTCGTGCCCCAGAAGTTCTCCTTAAATGCACGTCACAGACCACAAAGATTGACATGTGGTCAGTGGGTGTCATTCTTTTGACTCTACTGGGACGTCGGTTCCCCTTCTTCAACTCTGCCGACGATATCGATGCGATGATCGAAATGTCGAGCATCTTCGGCACCAAACGCATGAAGACTGCTGCGGCCATGCATGGTCAAATTTTTGAAACAAACATCCCCACCATCGGCGAGAAAGGCTACAGCTGGGAGAAGCTGGTGAAATGGTCCAGCTGTGTAGAAGATTTGACGGAAAGTGAGCAGCAAGCAACACGCCTCTTGTCTGGACTGATGGAACTGGAACCGTCTAAGCGCCTCAGTGCCGCGGATGCCCTGGAGCATGAATTCTTCACGGATCCCGTTCACCATGATGTGCCATGGGGAGGTAACCCAGAAGAAAGCGCAGAATCAGGAGAGGAGGAGGAGGCAGATGATGCAGACGAGGTTGCCATGCTATGAGACCCAAGATTATTTGTACGATATGTGAGATCAGTTTTACGCCATACACTGCATACCACTTTATTCAGGGCAATGAAGCAGCCTTCATATGAACAATCCCGCTGTATGCCTATCTATCCGGTATGCAATCTTTTCTAGCTCGCTTCTCCGAAATCGTAGTGCCCGGTCTCCGCGGCATGCTTCGTAGCACCTTTCTCTCCGGTGAATTTGCCTCCACAGACGTTACAGCGAACAGTGAATCCAGAAGTGTCCGTGTAGTAGTGCTTGCTTTGCAACACCTGGCATAGTTCTTTAGCCCTTTGCAAGACAACCGGATCAACAGCCTCAAAGATCTTTGTGTCATCATGCGCCAGTGGATTGGCACGAGTGTAGGGTGGGTGAGAAGGGGACAGCGCAAGGACATCGTAATGAATCCCCGAATAGACCACAATACACCGTGTTGGTGCTCCCTCATTAAACTGGAACATGTGCAAAGTCTGTACATCGATGGAGCATATCTCGATATTGAAGTATTCGCTGAGAATCTTGAGTTCGATGGCGCCACCCCACGAGTCCTCGTTCTGGATCCAGGTACAGTATTCGTCTGGTTTTTTGCCTAAAATCGCTGCAGTATATTCGGACGGGTTGGATTGAATAGCTCCTGCGACGATCGATCGTAGCTCAACCATCGTATCCATGTCGCCCATGACTGCAGAGCCCACTGCTCGGAAAAGGCACGAGTTGTCGTCGGGCATCACCCGGAGAACGAACGTTCCGGCATGCTCTGGAGAGGCAATTTCTGGCGGGTCTTCAGCGGTGTTCTCTGGTCGTCTTTGCGACAATGATGGCTGCGACGGCTGTGATGGTTGTGGTGGCGCTGTTCGGGCTATGGGCGCATCATCGCTCACGCCCCGGCTGGCCCCCTCTTTCTGTGCGACGATGAGTGACTCCCCATTTAGATTTATCCCAACTTCTAATATCCTTTGGTCTGGTTGGAAGCTGTCAAGCTCAAGTGGTTTGAGAGGGTATCCGTATTTGACGTCAAAGGCAGCAAGGCCGGTCTTCTCCGCTATTTGGGTTTGGAGATCTTCGATGGTTGCAGTGTCATCCAAGGTGACAGTTGATTGGCCTGAAGGCCCACGGACTCGGATTCTCATTGTGATGAAGTCCCAAAGAGGCCAAGACCTAAGGGAACTGTGAGGTATGTTGTAGATAATCTTAAGAACGGAGGTTCCACTGATAGGGAGATATGACGACTTCCGTGTGGGGTAGTTATACCTGGGTACGGAGTATACCAAGGCAGTCTGGAATGCAAGCCAAATGGTATGGGCCCTAAGAAGAGATGGACTGATATGTAAATCAGTAGTCTGTTCAAATCTAAAACAGTGAAGTCGCAAAAGACTGTAAGTAAGGGGAGACTACCCACCAAACTAATCATTGCATGCATGTAGCCAAGAGCTGCATACATATTGTACATTGAAAGTACGCTGAGGCGTGATAACTTCAATTCCAGTCACAGCAGACAGTTGTAGCAAAGATCCTCATAGAAGAGACGTGAATAGAGACATGATTGAGCCCAAATACAGCCTCTTTTAATGAAAAGATCATGAAAGGTGAGGCCATCGTCATGGAATGTCACGTGAAATGTCATGGATTACCGTAATGTGAAATGGCCGCTGAGTCAGCAATAGCTTCACCTGTCCACTGGACGCGTTGGTGAAACATCCTCCGACATCTACAGGGTCCCCTATTGTCTTATCTGAATTCGAGCTTGCTTCATTTGATTTAGTCTAAAAGATTGCTAAATTTACCCTTGCGTGGAAACGCGCGTGTCGCCAACGACATGGAGTCCGAAAAAGAGCTATCGCAACCCCCGCGCGAGCAACCCGTCAACTCCATCGAGAATGACGGTGCGATCACGCGCGAAACTTGGAAAATCATGATGGATGTGGTCCTGGCAATTTATGACTACCGAGAAGAGGAGTGCGACTGACTTTATATGAGATATATAGCGATCGCTGGCTAATTGTTATCTTGCGCAGTGGTCATGACCCGTCACGATTGTTCCATCGCAGTGTCAACAAGCGCTATGTTCCCGACTACTATGAGATAATCAAGGAGCCGATGGCCCTGAGTATTTTGAAAGCGCGCATCAACAAACGTGAATACAAGCACTTTTCCGAATTTGTCCGCGATTGCGCCTTGGTGAGTGGTTGCGCCCTCCAGATTTGCAACTAGCTAACGATATAGATCCCACACAATGCGCAGACATACAACAGACCCAAATCACAGGCCTATGAAGATGCTCTAGTTGTCAAAGTATGTCTGAGTAAAGCCGGTCACCCTGGGCATTCAACTGACAGTTTCCAGGAAGTTTTCGCCGCCGAGTTCAAAAAACTGGCCGCCCAAGGCCTGATCCCCGCCGACGAGGCAGAGCTACCCGATCTTGGAGAGATCCCAGAGGCCGATCCGCTGCCGGATGATGAGGAGGAAGAGGAGGAGGAGGAAGAAGATGAGGATGACGACTCTGAGGATGAGGGCCGACGAAGAAAGAAGCCCGGTCCCAAGCCCGGATTCAAGCGTGGACTGACTCAAAAGCACGAACCCGACCTTCGCAAGAAACGAGGCCGTCCTCCCCGCGTGGACACACCTATGGAAATCCGCATCAAAACAATTCTGAAGGGAATTAGGAAGTTCAAGGGAGCCGGTGGCCACCTGAAGATCACACACTTTGAACGCCTGCCCGACAAATCCGCTTATCCGGACTACTACCTGGAGACCAAGGAACCCATCGCCATCGATATTATCAAGCGCAAGTCCAAGCGCAAGAAGTACAACTCCGTCGATCATTTCATGCGGGACCTTGACCTCATGTTCGAAAATGCCAAGGCGTACAACCAGTCGGACAGTCAGATCTTCAAGGATGCGGTTGATCTGCAAACCGAGTCACGAAAGTTGGCCGAACAAGAAAAGAAGAAGCCTGATAGCGAGTTCTTGATGGAAGACGGACGCTTCCCACTCCCTGATGGTATTCTCCACCGCGGTGAACTGTGGAAGGTTGGCGACTGGGTTCATATCCAAAACCAAAATGATGTGACCAAGCCCATCGTTGCACAGATCTACCGAACCTGGCAGGACTCCGATGGGGAGAAGTGGATCAACGCATGTTGGTACTACCGTCCTGAGCAGACCGTGCATCACGTCGACAAGCACTTCTACCCCAACGAGGTTGTGAAGACTGGGCAATACCGAGACCACCGGATTGATGAGATTGTGGATCGCTGCTTTGTTATGTTCTTCACCCGCTACAGCCGTGGTCGCCCAAGAGATCTTGCACCGGATAAGGAAATTTACGTGTGTGAGGCTCGCTACAACGAGGAGAAACACAAGTTGAACAAGATCAAGACATGGGCCAGCTGTCTACCAGATGAAGTGCGAGAGAAAGACTATGAGATGGATCTCTTTGATGTGCCGCGCAAGATCAAGAAAATTCCCAGTCCGATCAAACATCTTCTCAGAGAGGATGCCAAGGAGACCGATGACCTTCCTCGGCCAACCTGGGGAACCGACAATGCCCCCCCTCTTGCCGGAGCTGTTCACCGCCGTCCACGAGATGAGAATGTAAGTCTTTTTCCCCCCACATGAGAAAAGATCCTGAAAGCTGACAGCATTAGGAATCACCACCACCCGAGCCAACTCCATCCCCGCCTCCTCCTTCCTTGCCCCAGTCTGTAGTACCTCGTCAATCACTGGGCCTGGGCCAATCACTTTCCAGAACAGCCATGAGCCCAGGCACTGCTGGACTCCAAACACGTACTCCAGCACCCCCAATCATCATACACACTACTCCCGCCCCCATTCGCCCACCGGGCTTCCATCAAATGACCCCATCCCAAGCCTTTACGGCGTCCCTCCAGCGCCGCGCAAGCAACCTTGCTACCCCGCAAACCCCAGCAGGCGCATACCAGCCCTCACCATCGGCCCAGCAAACCCCCGCCACCGGCTACTCTCAAAGCCGCATGCAAGCCCCACCAGCCGTGTACAACCCCAACGCACCGCGGCCCATTGAGGTCTTTCACCTGAGCGACACAGCCAACGCTGCCATCCCAGAAGACATCCGCGACCAATTTCACTGCGACGACCAAGGGCACGTGCTCTTCTTCTCCACACCGCCGGTGGATTTTATCCCGCCCTCGAAGAAGAAGCTCGGCCATTCCCTCAAATACCTCGCTACTAAGGAGGAGCATCAGAGGAAGGTCGCAGAGCGGAAACGCAAGCTGGCTGACGAGAAGATGGAACGTGATGAGGCTGCGAAGCGCCAGCGCGCTGAGGTGGAGACTGCGCTTGCGGCCCGTGCCGAGGCGCTTACCGGTAAGGCGCTTGAGACCTTGGTGCAGCACGTCGTTGCGGGTACGGATCAGCTCTATGAATCTCTCCATTAAGCATGGATGATGCTATGGACCTTGATGGAACGTGCGAGCGTGGTTCTGCGAGGAATCGCCAGGCTATGGGACAGTCTGCGGAGAATGGTTTGGTCAATTTGGAAGGTACTGCTTTGTACCTGCACAAGGCTTACGGAGAAAAGGCGAACATACTGGCGTGGCTTGGCGTAATCTTCGGAGGCATTCTGTTTTAGTTTAAGATGTGTATGATTAGGTATCAAATGAAATGATTATTATGTATGTTACTCCTGTTAGTTCTAACTAGCCATACCAACCTACTCCTTTTACGAAGACTAGTATCAAGGAATTGTTTATTTGCACATCTCCAGTTTGTACATGCCTGCAGTCCTGAGAATCAAAACCACATATTCCGACAGTAGGGGACAAAAAACAAGGGAGAAGAAGACAAAGCAAGCACCTAGTAAGCCCCAGAGATCGCAGTGGTCGTGGAATCATGAAACAAAAGCAGAGATAGTAAAAGAGGCGAGATATGTCAACCCAGGTACAGTGCAATATCCATGAATGGAAACGAATAAAAAACAGAGAAAAGGCAGAGATTAATACAGTAAATGGCTGGTTAGAGAGATCCTCTGAAGGCCCAGCAACGAGAAACACATATGACTGGTCTAAATGATTCCAAATGATGGAATAAAACAAGGCAGATGATGCTGAGTGCCAGTTTATGATGAGAGGGATGTGAAGTTTTTTTTTTTGTGCCTTTTGTTTTTGCCGAATCAGATATCTCACTTGAGGAGAAAAGGATGTATTGTCTTCGAACCTTCTTTTGTTTTGTCTCTTTGATGTATGTTGCCCAATTGAACTCCGATGCCCTTTTTCCTGTGTTTTTGGTGAGTATGAACATGTCCCAATGTTGGACTTGGACTTGACATGTCGTGATGAAATTGATTGAAAACAAACGACAGATTAGGAGGAACTTTCTTTGTTCTCAGTCCACGAGGCACTGGTCCGCTTGTGGCCGACCTCTTCCTCCATGTCGAAGACCAGGTCACTCTGCTCTTCCTCCTCAATCTTGCCTGTGTTGACAGGAGGGGAGATGATTCGGTCAAATCGGCCGATAGGAGTAGGACCGATAGGGGTAGGATTGCTGAGACTGCTAGGAATGGCAGGCGACGGACGAGCAGAACCAGGGTGAAGGCCCATGCCGCTGAGCTGCTCGGAGATAATGGACATTGAGGATTGACGTCCAGGGCTCGAGATGAACGACGCTTCGTGGGATACCCGGCTACTACCAATGGGTCCCAGGCTAGGGCTGGTGATTGGGTTCAGTGATGACTCACGGAGAGGAGAGCCGATGTGGAAAGAGGAAGAGCCGTGAGATTCCTCTTCCTTGCGCTGGCGCTGCTTAGCAAACAATGCACCAAAGCGAGACGGGCTCGACGCCAGGGGAGAACCATTCTTGGAAAAGCTGGTGCTGGTCATGCCAAGGCCAGTGAGGTCGCGGTGGCTGGAGCTGAGGTCGTTATCGGTCCGGGAGAGGCGGCGCAGCTTTTCCTGTGGAGTCAGAACATCGTCGTGCAGATTGAATGGTAGGTAATCCTCTTCCATGGGGAAGTTCTCATCCCATTCCTCAAGGGCCGTGGGACGAGGAACACTAGCGGAAAACATGCGTGGCCTGACGGGGCGCGACGAGTGCATGAACCGGGTACCGACTGTATCTTCAGGGGCGGGAGGAGAAGATCCTATGTTCGATGAAGGCTTGCGCAAACTGGTGCCATAGCCGAGATCGCCCAGGTTCCGGAATATATCTGCATGAGCCGGTCTCTGGGGTGGTGGCGATTCCAATCCAAATTGCGAGGGCATGGAAGCAGCCACCGGACCGTAACGGGCAGCATGAGAGATACCTTGACTGTCGAAGGAAGCCGGGAGCCCTGCATCGAGGGCGCTGAGGTGGTTGTTATTAGGCGACATGAGGTATCGGACATCTTCAGCGGGAGATCCATACTTGGAGCCGGCATCGGATGCCAGGCCCGTATCGATCGTGGGGATTCCATCATAGGACGGCTGTTGCTGCCCATGCAGGGATTCATACTCCTCCTGTGGGGCCAGCTGAGCATATCGAGGCTGCTCGTGACCGTTCATGCGCTGTTGGGAGAGCACCGAGTTGGTCAAGGCGGAGTCCTGGTTGACATAGGCCTGCGGATTCACCCGGCCGCCCAGATTGAGATGACCGCTTCCTATTCCCATGTTCCCAGTCGGCCGGTTGACTCTCCGTCCATCTGGTAGGATATGCGCCAGTGCGCATTTTGCGCCGAATTTGCAGTTTCCCTAAAATCATTGCCCCGTTAGCTTCCGATGGCCTCGGATAACACGCCATGAGAGGAGGACTTCGAAACAGTTCCGATTTCATACCTTTGCAAAATACTTGCACGGAGCGTAATCAATGCCGGCATCGGTGGAGTGTAAAAACGGACAGGCGGGACCTGCCTGGCAGGCACCCTGGCGGAAAAATTTGCAAGGAACATGTTTGGTGTCTGTATATATGATAGCAGAGGGTTAGTTTCGCATTCGGGCGTCGCTACAATAATATGAATGAATCAAGTCAAGACTTACTCTTATTGCTCTGGTTCGGCGGGCTGCGGGCAACGTCAAGTGCCGATGGATTGCGAGAATGTCCGTTCTGGGGGTTCTGGGGTGCCCCAGAGGTAGCCGGAAGAGGCGCACGACCTCTCATCTCTGAATGATTGGCTCGACGAGATGGCGGAGCACGAGAAGACACCTGCATAGAGACGTAGGAGGGGTTGGAGATTGAAGAGGGGAAAGAGAGATAGGCCCAGGCGGTGGAGACGGCGGGGAGATCAAATAATAGATGGTTCACGACAATACGAAGAACTGTGAAGAAGTGAAGTTAACGCGGCGTATTATTAGAATAATAATAACATCATTATGTTATACGATCTCACCACAGCCTTGTCTCATATGATAATGTTCATCTGATTACGGTTCGCCTCATCCCGCGTTGCCTCCATTCCATACCGGCGAATCAGATCTCCCATCGGAAATAGAATACACACCTTAAAACCTCTAGAATCCCCCCGGTAGCTCTCACACTAAACGTGTGCATGAGTGTCAAATGATGTGACTCGGGTGGGGACTAGGTAGAGAGATCACCACTCCGCGATGACCTCTTATTGGAGCGTTCCTTCAAGCCCCAAAGATTCCTGATAACATTTGTCAGAATTCCAGAGCATGGACGATTGGAGAGCTTTGAGGCTATGTCACTCGTCATTCGCAAAAACTTACCCAGAGCTCCGCCGCAGTCATGTCCTCCGGAAGTACCTCAGAGCATTGGTCCCAGAGATCGCGACAGATCCGACGGCGCAGGTTGGCATGTCGTTGCCAATATTTCCATTCTTTTTCGAGTTTTTCTCTTTTTTCTGGTGATATTTGAACGGGGTCGCCCTCGTGACGACTTGCCAAGCGAGCTTGGATCGTCGATTCCTCGCTCTCAAGACGGCTGATGTCCTGCCGGAGTTCGGATATTCGGGGCTTTGCGTGCAGGGCTGCTAACGCTGCTCGGGCCTTCTTTTCGTTTGCCTGTACAGTTGAAATCTCGTCTTCGAGCCTTTCAATATCACGCTGGAGAGCTGCAGCTATCTCTGGGGTTGTGATATCCGAGGGATCTTGCAGAGCATGGTAAACTGTCTGTTTGCCTATACGTCACTTGGTTAGTATGTCTTTCTGTTCAAGTATGTCAGACTTACCAGAAGCTCTCCCTTCGATCTCGTTCTTCTCGTGCAAGTCCCGAAGAAGCTTTGCGGCTTGCGCTAGAAGCCCATATATTAGGAAAGCATAGACACGGTCATAGAACCAGTCTTACTTTTGGTCACCTTGTTGTGGAGATTTGCAGAGACATCAATGGCCTAGAAAATGCTTGGTCAACTCTCTGTTCCTCAGGCTGTCATGAAGAGAGAGCGAACCGAGTATGGACGACTGAGCCAGGCGATGTTAGTCACTATCTCGAGTATCAAACAACTTATTGGAGCTAACATACTTTTGTTGGCCTGAAAATCCACCCGGTAAGTCATTGTGAGCAAACATCTGTCAAGGTCCAGATTCTGTCCAGATACTCACGAAGGTATTCTCGGATCATTGAAGCATCTTTGCAGTCAAGGTCAGCAGGTCAACAAGGATTTGATCAAGAGAATTTCTCACCATTATCTGCAGATGCATCTGTCTTGGGCTTACGTGGAGCCATGGTGTGATGATTAGGAAGATGTTTGAGATTGGGAAGATGTTTGAATGTACTGGGTTGGTACGAGTTGGAGTTCACACCGGTGGACCTCACGTGTGTGAAGTGACTACAGTGACACTACAATTCGAAGACTGAACTTTCAATGACAATAAATTCACAGTAAATTCACAACTACTCCTAATTCATGCCCAAACTTACAACCCGAATGATAATATGTCCAGGGAAAAGAAACAAAAAAGCTTAAGGCAGATATGAAATGGGTGCAAATGCAGTCATGTGGAAACAAGAAGCCATTGAGACCATTCGCCTCCCGGACGGCGAATACTTTTTGAACCCCCGAGATTATAGAAAGTAGAGAAAATGCAAGTGGAAGGGAGACAGCCAAACGTGCTTGGATAGGGAACAGAGCCCGGGGTATCACATCACAATCTGCAAAAGTCAGCTTTGAGTCAAGTTCAATGGCTAAAAAGTAGGGTTTACATACGCAATCACTGTCTTTCGCCGCACTAGGAACACCCATCTCTTCAAAGGTCTTGGGTCCCTTGCTTGGTGGCTTGGCGGGCTTCGGCTGGGGCGCGGATGAAGTCGACGATGCGACTGAGGGGGCGACCGAGGGCGCGATCGAGGACGCGATCGAGGGCGTCGGTTGAGGCGTGGAGGCACCCGAACCGTGAGAAGATGGCCGAGACTCCATACGTGGAGGAAACGAGGGCGAACCAGGCGGACGAGGAGATACCAGACCGGGTGAGGACATTCCGGAGTGGCCAGCAGTAGGAGGTCTCATAGGCTTGCGTTCAGCCGAGTCAAGTCGAGGTGGTGGGCGTCGCCCACCTGGAGGCGGCATTGGTGCAGAATAACCAATATCGAGACGAGGAGCCCCACCAGGACTGACCATGTTACTAGCCTGTGGGCTTGTAGGTCCAGGAGGAGCGCTGAGAGGTGCTCCAGGGACAGGTTGGCGGTAGTTCATGGGCCCGTTAGGTCCATAGGACGGATTGTGAGATCTAGGGGGGCCTTGGGCAGGTGGGCCACCATATCCCGAGGGTGCATTGGTTCGAAGATTGGGAAGGTTTGGATTGACGCCAAAAGCAGAGCTTGGGCGATTGTCTGACAGTTGATAACTCTGCTGGGGCTGGGGCCGGGGACGAGTAGAGGAAGGACGATCGGGGTAAGGAGCTCCAGATGGTGGGCCGTCAGACAAACTCATCCTCGAGGGATCTGGCATTTGGATATTCTCTGGGGTTGATTCCATTGAATTACCTCGCTGATGAGCGGTATATCGCGTCGACTTGATGCGCGAGACTGCGATTTTCTCATGGTCCTTTCTGGACAGAGTCTTTGAGCGCGAGATACTTTCAATCCGACCAGATGCATCCTTGTTACCACTGGCAGCGGCCTTGGCGTACCAAGAGCGGGCTTCCTTTATATCCACTGGTACAAAGATACCAACCTCATAGAAGTAACCCAGAGCAAATTCGGCTGTCGGAAGACCACTCTGGGCCGCGCGTTGAGCATATGTAAATGCTAGCTCGTCGTTCTTCTCAAAAATACCCTCATGTCCACACAGGAACCATTTGCTGATTGCCATCTCGGCTTCGGGCTCACCCTGACGGGCTGCCAGTGCATTGTAGTGCAGAGACAGCGCGGGGTTGAAATCACAGCCCAGTTGACAAAGTTCATATGCAGCACCCATCTTGACCTGGGCCTTGGCGAACCCGTGATATGCCGCCTTTTCGATATTTACACGTGCCATGTTCAGATCGAGGGGTAGGAAGCTTTCCGGGACGCTCACTTGAGGGAGCTCTCGAGCCAAGAGCATGCCGTATACCTTTTCTCCATTAGAATGATTTCGAAGATAGAAATTTTTACAAAACTCACGTATGCGCCTTGAGGTGCGTTCTGGTCGCATGACTGCGCCGCCAGCCGGATGTAGTCCAACCCAGTGTTGAAATCCTGGTGCTGTCCATGCTGGCCCAAAAGAATCATCATTCCCAGGCGCTGAAAGTATGTTGTTAGTTTTTCCACTATGTCCAGTCTATCTGATAACCCACATAGTATGAGGCAGAATCCGCCCGCGCAACACCCCGCTGGTAATGTTTGATCGCCTTCTCAGGCTCACCCGAGCTCTCAAATTGCATTCCGATGCGGTACTCGGCACGCGCATATCCCTTCTCAGCGGCTCGGGAGTATGATCGGAATGCCTCCTTGCGATCGACGGGGCAGCCAAATTTGCCGAACTCGAGCCACATGCCCTTGATAAATTCCGCTTTGGGGTGACGCTGCTCGGCAAGAAAGCCGACAATGTTCATCGCGTCGACCCTTAGCCGCCGCTCCACCTGTGGGGTCTGCGGGCGTGGCGGTTGGGTCAGAGAGAGGCGGACATCGTTCTGCGCGGCAACCTCGACAAAGGCGAGGGCATCCAAGGCCCATGCGAGTTGCATCTCCGGGTCTGTGGTCGACAGCACGGCCATCCGCGCGCGCTCTAGGTTCGCCTCTCTCTGTTCATCGGTAGGCGGGACGTTAGGTGGTGGGTTCCGCAAAACCGGGAACGGTGAGAAGTTTGGGTGATCCATGCTATCATAGGTCGCGGATTGCGCGTAGGAATTGGGATCATGAGCTTCATCGTGTGGGGATTGGACGGCGGACGAGGTGCGTTCGGGATAGGTGTTGGCGCGTTGGTATGGCGGTTGTTGTTGCCCGCGGCGGGGGTCAGCGCGGTATTCCAACTCAGCGATATTGTCCTGCATGTTCTCGGGCACTTCTGGCATCACTCTAGGGTGAATTAGTACTCGTATTTTCGGCATTCTCGGCATTTGCAGGATTTGCAAAGATCGCAGAGATGACAGTGATGACAGAAATCGCGGAAATCGCAGATAGATGTGAATTCAAATTGATACCTTTGAGGAGATGGGGATATGACCTCTGGCATGTAGAAGTCATCTTGCCCCCCTGGATACCATGTTGCACCTAGGTGCTGCTGACCACCCTGTGGTGGTCTGTTCATTGTGAAATTGTTAGAGAATTGTCCGATCCCCCTTGTCAATAGTAAAGGTCGAATAGTGTCAAGAGAGAGGGGGAAATGAAAAGAGGAGTTGAAAGTGATTTAAGGGAAAAAGGTAGACCCCCACCCCCGCCAGGTCAAACGGATTTGAAGAAGAGTTATTATTAGTATATTGATAGTAGTATTGGTAGTATTAATAGGATATATCCTTCTACTTCTAGTAATATAATAGCGCCGACCTGTATAAGCTCCATTATGTACATATTGTATTCTTCAGCCTCATCGATGGATGAGGTACATAACTGTACCGGCGGACGTAGGGACTTCCATCTGGTGGGGCTCTCTTGGGGGCCGCTTTAAGGCGGATGTAAGCTGACTAAGTCGGGTTCACCTCCGAGGTTGGGTAAATCTCAGTCCGGAGGCTGAGCGCTAAGCCACGTGATATATCAGTGAGGCTGATGAATCAACATAGCCCCACAGTGTCTATTTTGGTAAGAATGATTTTTGATGAGCAGAGTAATCCAGAGACTTTCTCAGCAGGAAGAGCTTGTTAATGATGTCAAGGGTTGAAGGATGGAGGCTTGGAGTTTCATAATGTTAATGTGTCTATAGAATCATAACTATATCACATCTCATGAGCCTTATGTATCACACCAAACTCATATCCCATTACAGTGAATCCGACATCTCATTCTTGATAACCACAGCACTCTTCTCACAGGGCTTTGGGTATTGATCGGACGCTGCTTCCAACCCCTCAAGCATCACTGGGTCTGTGTGATCCAATTTAGGATCCTCAAAAAGAGCGGCGAGCTCAACTTCGGTTTTACCTTTCGTTTCTGGGAACACGAAATATATGATCAAAGTCTTGAAAAATTAGTACTCGAGATATGGAAATAATGGTAGTTGAAATTTCACTCACGCCGAGGACAAGCATTCCCAGGTAGAAAATATAGTAGTAATATCCAATGCTCTCCAGTGCAATGGGATTAACATATTGATTGACGGTAAGTGCTGCCTGCGAGATAGCCACTTGAATACTTAAACCCTTGGCTCGAATTGCAAACGGCAGAAGCTCCGTCGGATAGCAATAAAGAAGTGGGTTATTTGCCAGATTAAAGGCCGCATCGTAGAAAAAAAGAAATACAACGACGGCAAACGAGGCTCCCTTGGATCCATGTTGGGCATACATGGCCGAGCATATAGTCAATGGGATGTTGACGAGGATCATGCCGATGAATGAGATCAGCCAGAGAGTTCGTCTGCCGATTCGGTCCGCTAGTAAAGCCCCTGCTAGGGAGAACAGCAGGTTCCATATCTGCAATCCACCGTTGATACCGGTTTGCTGAGGTGTAGAGGTGATACCAATGCTGGTCAAGATGGGGCTGAAGTAGTATGCGATTACTCCCTGGCCGTTCCAGAGTGTCAAGAGGGCAACAGTAGCCACCAGGGCAATTCGTTTCCTGTTTGCCGGCGACTGGTAGAGAATACGCCAGCTACTTTGACCACTCTTTTGGGCGGCCGCTTCAGCCTCCAACAAGGTATGTATCTCTTCCATCTCATGTATCACAAGAGGCGAGTGCATGTTGCCGTTGCTATGATACTTTGCAAGCAGTCGTTGGGCTTCTTCCGGGCGGTGTTTTGCACAAAGCCATCGCGGACTTTCGGGGAGACCGCAAAGAACGGACATCATGACGAGAAGTGCGGGAATTCCTTGAATGAGCGACGGTATACGCCATGACCAGCTGGTAGTCATATATCCTGTGCCAAACGTTGTCCATGCCGCGATGATGGAGCCTACGTACCAAAGTACATTGAACTATAGAAGTCTCAGGTCAGCAGAATGTATAAAGAGCTTGGATATATTAGTAAGGGGACCTTACCAAAGAAGATATTGTGCCACGCGTCGCCGGATGAGCCAGTTCGAAGAGCAGCGAGGGGCCAGCAACACATGTGAAGCTAATTCCAACGCCAATCAAAAACCGACCACCAATAAACATACCAGCTGATTGTGCAGCTGTTTGAATTACAGTTCCCGAAAACGTCAGGCTTGCTCCAACAAACATGGCTACTCGTCGTCCGAGGTAGTCTGCTGTGGGCGAGGCAATCAGAGCACCAACAAAGCCCCCAACGAAAACAATAGTTGTTATGAGTCCGATTCTAGATGAGTCCGGATTTCCCATATCTGGTGAGAGCTGCATGATTAGCTTCTATCTCGAAGGGAATGTAGAAAGGATCTACGGACCTTTGACCCAGGGCTTCATGGACTGGAAACTTCCCACCACACTTTCATCATAACCAGTGGTCATTTGCGATATAAGAATGGTAGCCTGCCATGCTAGTAGCTTGCGCATACCAAGATCTTTCCACCATTTGTCAAAGCGATGAGTTTCGATTTCATGAACGGGGGCAGTCATTTTGGGAGGATGAGGTTGATCTCTGGGGTTAACACAGAGGAGGGCATCTGGGAGAGCCAAGGAGCCCATTGAACTTATATTTTGCCATGATCAATGGTATCTGAGAGTGCAAGCAGATAGTTCATTGACCGTTGTAGATATCGATGTTGGTCAACTCGCGCGAAACTCGCGCGAGTTTCTTATCTGCGGAGGCGCGGCAGTTTCCGCCACCCACTCCGAGGGACATTTCCGGATACAATTAGGGCTTAAATAAAGACGCAACATACCGAAGTCTGCTTTCAAGATGCTTTCAAGGCGCTTTTACCAATCATTGACATTCCCGACCGCTCGATCCTGTACCTAGTTTCCCACCCATACCATGCCCCATCCAACGACTAATCAAGTCACCGTGGACGATTCCAGAGTTCATGGAGACTGGCGAGACGAATTGTTCCAAAATGGGTACGTTGTGGTGAAAAACGCTATCTCACCTGATCGATGTGAATACTACATCGACAAGATGTTTGAGTGGTTGGAAAGTTTCCCTTTCGGGTTTGACAGGAACGATCGCTCAACTTGGACCGAACAGCATTTACCCACGCATATCAAGGGCGGAATGTATCATGGATACCGTATCCAGCATGAGAAGTTTATATGGGAGGCTCGAACGTAAGTCTTCAATTCCATATCCGACGATACACAGCTAATCGATTTGACCAGAGAGGACGGAGTAATCGAAGCCTTCGCAAAGCTATGGGGAACAGACAAGCTTCTGGTCTCTTTCGATGGAGTGAACTTCACTCTTCCATCTGGTACTACTCTGCCACAAACTAAACCTTGGCCACACATTGATCAAAGCCCACTGCGACAGGGTATGCAGTGTGTCCAGGGTGTTCTCAACTTCGCACCAAATGGTCCTCAAGATGGGGGTCTTCTCGTCGTGAAGGGATCTACAAAGCTTATGCCGGAGTTTTTCAAGACTCACTCGGGTGAAATTGGCAGAGAAACATGGGGACCTAGCGATTGGTTTGGCTTTGACGAGAGTGAGGTGAAGTGGTTCGAGGAAAGAGGCTGCGAGATTCTTAAGGTGAATGCTGAAGCCGGAGATCTTATTCTTTGGGACTCTCGCACTATGCACTTCAATTGCGTCCCATCATCTCAGAATCTACGTGCCGTTGTTTGTGAGTTCTCTTCTCCGACCCAAGTGGTCTCTCTCTGACTGTTCATAGATGCGTGCTATACACCAGCATCCTTTGCAACGCCTGATGTCTTGCAGAAAAAGAGTGAATTCTTCGACCAGCGAATTGGAACGGTAAGTTATCCTTTCTCCTGTCTCTTCTGCATAAAAGGGCAGTTTATTAACTTCTTGAATAGACACATTGGCCCCATGACAATCTATTCACTGAAACTAGCCACGCAAACCGCCCAGAAGAGGACGAAGGGGACTTGACCAAGCGTCTTTATGAGGAACCTGTTGAGACGGACTTGGTGTTAAAGCTGGCAGGGAAAAAGCCTTACTAGATGTTTTTAGATTACTTGCTCGCCCATGGCTCATATCTTCCAGATCCAGATAGTTACATTCTTCCTGATTCCTCTCAATCGATCAAGTATTTTGACATGGAGCCGAATTTTCTTCCATATCACTAGTCTCCTTCATATGTGGGTATAAGAGAAGAGAAAAGCGACGTAATAAGAATTTTCAAATCCCCTCTAGAATGCGAAGCACCCGAAAACGAACAAATCCAAAGCACACTTAGCCCATCATACCTATATTATTACTCGTACAATAACTAATATCTCGCTAAATGACTTCCAGCGAAGGTCTCGATAAGGATAATCTCGGGGTATTCAAGGTGGGGATGATTAGACCAATCAGATCAAGTCCCCCAAAGGGTCATAGATAAAGACCGCCAAGGCTGCATTTGTGTCTTCCACATATCCTCAATGACAGCAAGAAAGAGCCAAAGGGCACCCAATGCTTGCTCTAGTTGTGCTAAACGTCGGGTGAGGTGCGACAAGCAGGTCCCATGTGGAACTTGTCTTGCAAGAGGCCTAGAAACTACGTGTGCAAGAGAAGTTGTCAACGTCAAAGGCCGAGTTACCAGGTGAGTCAAGCAATCCAGTATATAACTAGTGCTAAAACAGAGACAGTGCAAAGCAGAGTGTGCCGGTTCTATCTTATTTTGAACTCCAACAAGAAAACAATCGACTAAAAGCTGAGCTATTCAAATCAAAACTACTTACACAGCGGAAATCGACGTCTTCTACATATCCTAGACAGGAAATTTCCGCTGAAGTGCTCGAAAACCAGACGAATCTGCAACATGGAAAAAGCGATTATCATCAGCAGGTGTGGAATCGAACAGACATCTGGATGCCAAGCAAAGACTGCAGTGATATTTTATTGCATCACGGCTTTACCTGGACCTCGTGGATCCATTTTGCTGTTCATCTGCAGACATTCGAGCTAGAGCATGAGTCTGCTTGGATAACCGGGGTATTCCTTGATGGCGATCCTCTCTGGCTAGCTATATATTTTGGCTTCATAGCAGTGAGCAATATTTCCTGTTTTTCTTTTATTGTCGAGGAACCTAATTGATCATAGATGAGTCTGATGTTTATGGATAAGGATGAAGCTAGAAGAGCCGGACTACCTCTAGGTTTGGCTACCCACGCGTTTTCCCAGTCAAGTTAAGACTCCTCTAGTCTAATGCATCCTAGAAAATACGTCTGAACTTGTTCAGAATTGGTACGGCGCGGCACTATTTTTCCTCAACGAGGCGGAGTTTCTACGAAATCCGAATTTCAAGACAGTACAGTCCATTGCCATACTTCTCGGATTGGCCAAAAATGTTGGGGACTTTGATCTTCAACCAGTTCTTCAGGCGACAGGAATAAGGATAGGCCAGATTCTAGGAATGGATCAGGAGCCTCCCATGATATCCGACGACCCTGTTATGCAAGAGATCAGTCGACGAGTTTGGTGGACCTTGGTCATCTGTGAATGGCTGTCCATACCAGCGCGTCCGCCTTGCATCCACCAAGCAGACTTCAATGTCAGGCTGCCTCTGGTCCTCTCTGATGAAGAGTTGACGACGAGATTGATCAATGAGCCGAATATGGCAACCAAAATGCCACGTCCAGTGGATTATCACAATGCTATGATCTTTTTAGCAAAGTCGAACTATCACTTTCAAATCCAAATGAGGGCTATCGAAAATCTGGATGGAGATAATCTTCTGGAAGACCTTGTTCTGACAACGGATGAAGCGCTAGCCAATATCATCTCACAGTTGCCATCTCATCTTCTCGAGATCTCCGGAGGACTAGCCAAAGAGAGAGAACAATATCCACCCTGGGTACTGTGGCAACAAACCACATTATCTCTCTCATTTTTGTTCTATCGAATGAAGGTCAACCGAGTCCTACAACATCGATGGGCCTCCTCTTCGGATGTCCTTCTTGCAAGGTCAAAAGCAATCTGCTTAGACTCGGCCAACACGATTGTGTCGATGGTCAAGCAACACAAAGTTGTCTTGGCACGCCATCGTCCATGGTGAGTCTCAATTCTTCTTCTGCTTTTCTGGGTCCTGTTCACTAAATATTCCACTTCTTCCTCCTTATGATAGGGCAACAACCTCTGCCCTGTTTTCCGCTGCCTTGACCCTTGCAGCAGAGGCAAAGCGTCTTGACTCAAATGCAGCAGAGGAGTACATTGACAGAGTTCAAACTTGTTTTTCATTTTTTGAGTATATCAAAGATCACAGCGCTCTTGCAACGCGAGTCCTAAGTGAATTGCGGGTGTTTTGTTTTCATGATTCTGAGTCAACTAGTGTCTAGTGATTACAGTGATATTATGGATCCCATTGCATTGAAATTTATAACCAGAGAGTGATGCAGTCGATTCTTTCTAGATGGAAGACTCAACTATATATATGTTTAGAGTCATTTCTTATCGGTACGTCTTTGGCTAGTAATATCAAAGGTGTAAATGCTTTAGGTCCTTGGGTAATGGGTGATATGAGCGAATGGGAAATCGATCCGATCAGCATAGCTCATACGTGCCTCTGCCAGCTTTGATAAAGCAGACGTTGCATGTGACGAGACTAGCGTGTCACATTCCATGGAACCTTAGAACCTTAGAATATGGAAACCTTGGCTCGGCTTAAACTCAATGGGCGAATCAGGGCGTTCAGATGATAATTAGTGGGTCAGAAAGGGGCATGCCCAGTTGTACCCAGTACTACGGAGTACTCAGTAAGACAAAAGCGGCAAGGCCTGAAATCCGGTACCTGCGTACAATACTTCCAAGGCTGGTCTCTCAGATTTCCAAGATGTACCTAACCTCCTCCGTACCGGTAATTTTACCTTCACCGTTTTATTTTTATCTTTTCCCTTTCCTTTGGCTATTCTCCCGAGGTCCCTTCTAAGTTCTTACTGGCTGTCATCTCCAATGGATTTCCACCATCCCTATAAGCCATACGATATCCAACTACAGTTTATGCAGGCCTTGTATGCCTGCCTGGAAGATAGCAAGGTCGCTGTCTTTGAATCCCCCACTGGTAAGCTAGACCTCACTGTGTTTATTGTTGATTGATCTAACATAATGTTATGCAGGCACTGGAAAATCTTTAAGCTTAATCTGTGGCTCTTTGACTTGGCTTCGGGATCACAAGCGAAAGGCCTTCCAGGAAAGTGTTGATGCAACATGTGGGTCCCATTGTGAAAGATATGACTGCATAGCATCTATCTGACATTCCAGGCGATGACGATGAGCCCGAGTGGATGATAGAACATGCCAAACGGGAATCTAGGCGTGCCATTACCGAAAAGAGACAAGAACTCGAAGCCCGACTGGCCAAGATTAGGCAAGAGGAAGGACGTTTGAAACAGGCCCAGGACAGTGCAGACCGACCCCGTAAAAAGCAGGTATGCATATATTCACCGATTGGTGCAAGGTCACTATACCAACTAGAAAATAGCGACTGGACGACTCAGCACCGGAACTTGTGGACGATGACGACCAATTTGTTCTCGATGACTATGATAGCGACACAGACAATCAGAAAAGGCAAAATGACTCTGGGAATTCCGACGGCCTGTCTGCAAGCACTCTAGCCTTGTTAGAACGCTTTCAAGGGAAATTCTCAACACAAAAGAAAGAGAAAGAGGATGACGGAGATGATGAGATTAAGATCTTTTTTTGCTCAAGAACACATTCTCAGCTGAGCCAGTTTGCCGGTGAATTGCGACGAGTCACCTTTCCATCTAGTTTACCTAGCGACCTCGATCCAGAGAGCAAAGATGACCTTTCCAAACTGGAAGAGCGCGTGAAACACCTGTCGCTAGGGTCCAGAAAGAATCTGTGCATCAATCCCAAAGTCCGGGCCTTGGAGAACAACACCGCAATTAACGAGAAGTGCTTGGATTTACAGCAAGCCGGCGTAGCAGCCGACAAGAAGTGCCCCTTTATTCCCTCCAAGGATGACGAGGCTCTGGCTCTTGAGTTCAGGGACCATGCTTTGGCGACTGTGAAGGACATCGAAGACATTGCCCAGGTTGGGAAAAAGCTCGGAATATGTCCCTACTATGCATCTCGTCCAGTTATCAAACACAGCGAGGTTAGTTTCACCCGGGAACAGATAGAACGTCGTCTCTAACTCAAAATTAGATCGTCACACTTCCATATCCCTTGTTGCTGCAAAGATCAGCCCGCGAAGCCCTCAATCTCTCCGTCAAAGGTCATATTGTTATCATCGATGAAGCCCACAACCTCATGGATGCAATAGCTGGCATTCATTCGGTGGCTGTCTCCCTAAGTCAACTGCAGACTGCAATTGGGCAGCTGACAACATACGCCCGTAAGTTCAAGAACAGACTAAAAGGGAAGAATCGGAACTATGTTGCGCAAGTCATCCGCCTGGTGAGCTCAATTGCGGAGCATATGAAGTCGATCACCCAGCAAAAAGGACCACTAGAAGGCTCGGTTCAAGCCTCAGATCTCATGGCTGGAAAGGGAGTTGACCAAATCAACCCTTATAAACTCTCTAGATATTTGCAAGAGAGCAAGCTCGCCCGGAAAGTTGACGGCTATCTCGAATTTTCGCAACAGCCAAAACCTGGTCGATCCAAAGATAAAACAACAATGCCGGTTTTATTTCATATTCAAAGCTTTCTTCTTCCTCTTATGAACCCCTCGGAAGAGGGACGGCTTTTCTTTCAGAAAAGTCAAGACGATGTTTTGTTGAAATACATGCTTCTTGACCCGACAAACCACTTTCGGGAAATTACCGAAGATGCTAGGGCCGTCATTTTAGCTGGTGGTACCATGTCTCCGGTGAGTATAGCTCATATATTCTAACATTGTAGTTTTCTAATGCTCTCAACAGATGTCAGATTATGTGACTCATTTGTTTTCATATTTACCCCCAGAACGACTGGGGACATTCAGCTATGGCCACGTCATTCCAAAATCCAATTTAGTCGCGCAGTCATTGGCTCAAGGGCTGATGGGAAACGAATTTGATTTTACTTATGAGGCACGGAATTCTGAAAGAATGGTATGTGCAAATTTCTGTACTTGGAAAAAGTTTCTTATTGACATATAAACTAGATCACCGATCTTGGGCGTACGATAGCAACCCTCTGTCAAGTCATTCCGGACGGTGTCGTCGCGTTTTTTCCCAGTTATGACTATCTCAGTTATGTTCTGAGTGTTTGGAAGAAGCCCATTCCCAACGGGAACGGCCAAAGCACTCTCAATCTACTGGAACGGAAGAAGAAGGTTATGTACGACTCACGCGAAGCAGTGACATCTACAGATGATTTACTGAGGGAGTACACTGAGGCCGTTGAGTCGGGATCCGGGGCTTTACTTCTCTCTATCGTGGGCGGCAAGTTGTCAGAAGGCATTAATTTCTCCGACAAGCTAGGGCGCGGCGTCTTTATCATCGGCCTACCATTTCCCAATATCCGCAGCGCTGTCTGGCAGGCCAAAATCCAGTACCTCGAGGAAAAGACCTACAAACAGGCTTCTGGGTCCGAGTCGGAAAGGAAAGCAACGGGCAAGGCAGCGGGCAGGGAATTCTACGAGAATTCGTGCATGCGAGCAGTGAACCAGTGCATTGGTCGAGCCATCAGGCATGTAAACGACTACGCTGCTATTATCATGATTGACCGCCGGTATGAGTCGCCGCGGATCCAGCAAAAACTGCCTGGTTGGATTAGAGGAAGCTTGGTCCCAGCACCTCCCACGCGGGCGGCTCAAATGACTGTGCAAAGACTTTCAAAATTCTTCACCGAAAAAAGGCGATAGTGGAATATGCACTGTAATCGAATCATTACAAATAATGATACAGCATCATAATCTTCGCATCAAATCCGTGCTCGTATTGGAGATGTGCCGTAACCCTACATTGTAAAAGACCGGCAGAATGAGAAGGCGGTGTATGTAATCCGTGACATAAGTTCTGACAAAGCCAGGGCTAGGGTTCCACGATCACGGGACAAGCGAATTTGTTAGCGCACACTCTAAGCCTGGATTTCAACATCCTGTAGACGGAACGATCCCTTCAACGCCAAACATCAACGGTCTTGTCGAAACACCCCCGCCGACAAGATGCCTACCCGTTTCTCTAACACCCGGAAGCAGTGAGTCGACACCCTTTCCTGTGCCGTCTGAATCGAATTCTTTTCTCGTCGATCGCGACCAGAAGAACCAAATTCGTCATACCCCAGTCGCAATATCACATCAACATATCACTAACCTGTCTTTCTCTCGCAGCCGCGGCCATGTGTCTGCCGGTTACGGTCGTGTCGGCAAGCACCGCAAGTCCCCCGGTGGTCGCGGTATGGCCGGTGGTCAACACCACCACCGTACCAACATCGACAAGTTCCACCCTGGTTACTTCGGTAAGGTTGGTATGCGTTACTTCCACAAGACCAACCAGCAATTCTGGAAGCCCACTATCAACGTCGATAAGGTACGTTACATCTACATTTTGCGAGTCTATTCGAGATGAAGGAGAAGAAGTTGTGGATTGGTCTGGAGTTGGAGCACCGGTGCGCAAATGGCGACAATATGCAGAAGAGAAAGGAGGCCAATCGACAACTATTCGAAGGATTTGCGGAATTCGATTGAAATGGACAATTATCGCTGACCGCGACTTTCTTCTACAGCTCTGGTCCCTCGTTCCCGCCGAGCAGCGTGACGCCTACCTGAGCGGCCAGAAGACCGATGTCGCCCCCGTCATCGACCTCCTGCCCCTCGGCTACTCCAAGGTTCTTGGAAAGGGCCGTCTCCCCCAGATCCCCGTCGTCGTCCGTGCCCGCTACGTCAGCCGTGACGCCGAGGAGAAGATCAAGGCCGCCGGTGGTGTTGTTGAGCTCGTCGCATAAGCGTTGATTCGTCGAGATATTTCTGGAGAAGGCGGGTGAATAGGGGCAATTTGAAGCCCTAGCTGTGTTCGTTCGCCAGCATGGAGGACGATCGGAACTCAAAATGAGATCTGCCCGAACCGAAACTAAGTCGGTTCAAGCGGTCGAAAATAAAAAGGGTTTTTTTGTATGCAATCAGCATAGCATATGGCCTCCGAATGCCCTTACGATTTCATCAGTGTGTTAAACAAATACCATAAGGAGGATTTTTTTCAAATGTTTATGATGACTCCCGGGCAGAGTGTTGGTTCTGAATTATTGCGCCACGCTCATGTAGGATGACCGAGGCTGTCTTGGGGCATGAAAGGCTTCGAATCCCGAACAGGTTCGCTGTTAAAGCTCCATCGTCGTAGATTTGTCTACCAATCTGTCCGATTACAATTGCAGAACCTACGCCAGTGACAGGTCATGTCTATTCACATCTGATCTCATTCTATGTTGTATACATCGAGGTATTCACCATGGCCTAGTGCTCTCAGATCTTCGACTCTCGCACCGAACCTCGTCGACCCCCCTGATCGGGACCCACGGCCAACGTCTCACTGATAAACCGAACAGCCTCGTCAGCCATCTTAGCAGTGACCTCATGGGCTGCCGATTCGTCAATGATATCTTCAAAGTGCACCCCGCCATCACCGAACCACCCATCGGATGAGATACTCTGCTTGAGCCAGTTGAGGAACAGTTCTCCACGGTGATAGGGAACAAGCTTGTCCTTGGCGCCAGACAGATTCAAAATACGCTTGCCAGCCAAGGCATGAGTCAAAATCGGCCGCAGCACCTTCTGCTCGCTCTCTGAAGGCTGAGGCAACGGACCTTCGCGCAAAGGACCAGTCAATGGCCCGCAATCCACATGCTTCAGCATCATACTGGCAGGATCATATCGGCTGACGGTCTCTAGGAAAGAAGTCGGCAAGGCTTCCGAGCCAAGGACGTCGGCGCCAGGTGGATCACTCTTAGTCCATGATGGCAGCTTCGACAGCCGTGCGCGGTCTGCCATCAGATTGATATAGTCCGGGCAGCCGATGATGACAACTCCGGCGGTGACTCGAGGCTCGTGCAGTAGACAGCTCCATGCTGCGTGTCCTCCCAGCGAGACTCCTAGAACTAGATTCTGGGTGATCTTGTGCTCGCCGCTGGGGAATATGTAGGAGGGAAGGTAGTCCATGAGCACTGATGTATCTCTTGCAGTGCCCTCTAGTTATAATTAGAATACCATATTCTTATTTTACACATGCATTCACTCACGGAAGATGGAGAACATATCCTGGGCATGTCTGGGGTTCCCCTTTTTCCAAGATTCATTTCCGAGAGGGTCGACCAGCCGGGTACCATGGTTTCTCTGGTCGAACGAGACGGCAATCAGGCCCTTGGCCGTAGGGGTGTCCTGGTTTCTCGTGTTCCAGTCGGTAATGGCGGAATTGGCAATGCTAGTCATGCGCTCTTGGGTGGCTAATCTGGGGTGAAGAAGCCAGAGACATGCGACCTCCGAGGCCTCTTTGCGGAGCTCTTCCAGTCCGAAGACCGTTACTGAGATACCAGCAATTGTATAGACCCTTTCAGAGATGGCGGCTGCCACGCTGCCTACATCACTCACGGATTTCAATGGATCAGTCATTGTTGAACAGAGATATGAAAGATGTTGAAGAGAGGTGGGCTGAATAGCGGGGAGATAACTCGGGTATACTACGAAAAGCCGAGGCCGTTGGTTTAGAGCGCATGTTTCCGAGACTACGAGGATTTGTTATGTTTTAGATGTTTTCTAGTTATGTTGTCTATTGCCTATACCTCGTCTCCTTTATTGCAAGTTGATCCTCTCCTTTTTGTATATTTGATTCCACAGTGTTACTCCAAGGTCCCCAACTAAAGCCACATATACGGCCACTTTTGTTTGCTATTAAAGGACAAACCCCTTTGAATTCAGTCAGTCTAATTCAATATTCCCATTTTATACGCTTCATATGTCCTATTATATACCAAATACTCCATATATACTGTTGTAGAGCCCATGTCCGTTGATCATAACACGCCTCGACGTCCAATGCCCCTTTTCCAGACCGCCCACTCTTCTCCAGTCGGAGAGACAGCTGGGCACTCCACTGTAAACCAATTATCGATGCTCCTTTAAATGTCAACACACGTTCTTTATCCTGGAATTTCTTGTTTATTTCTTGTTCTTTTAATATGATGACTACCTAGTCAGTTTCGACAGTGTATGTACGTGAACGTGGTAGAATCCCTGTGAACTGCAACTGATAATCGCCTTGCATTAGCTCCAATCATGTCGGCCTCGTCAGTTCACAAGGACGTGGAAACTGGCTCACTGAGGATCGACACAAAGAAGCAAGAGCCCCCTTTGGCTTCAAACAAATCAAAACTGGCAAGCCCGCTGCCTTCTCCCACCGAATCCAAGAAACCAGCATCGATCAAGCAGGTCCAACCCACGACGGACGGCCATGAAACAGATGCAACAATAGGCGACAAGGAAAATACACATCCATCATCCTTGAACCAGGGCTCACCAAGAGGAAGGCCATCCCTGGGCACTCAACCGCCAAACCAGTCAGCTGAGGACCAACAATGGCGCTATCAACGCCAGTCGTCTAAACCCAGAATGTCTCCTCCATCCCGTCCCCCAAGTGTACATTTCAGAGATACAGACACCGAGGCTCCTGACGCGTCCCATTCCCGGCCGCCATCGCGACCCGTCTCTCGACCAGCCTCCCAACACGGCGACGATGATGAGCAGGGTCCCAAAGGAAAACAGTCGTTGTTCGGCAAACTCAAGTCACTCGCTAATGCACCCAACCTTGCACCACACTCACGATCTGCCAGCGGCGCGAGTACGGACTTCCGCCCAGGTCCAAGCGATATAGCTACCCCGGGGTCGGAAAGGGGAGAATTCCGCTTCCCAGAGGCCCTGGAAGAAGAGGGTAGCGAGATCGATGCCGACGCGGAAGAGAGTGGTGGCGAGCAACCCGATCCTCGTGAAAAGAGAAAACTGCAACGCCGGCGAAAGCAACGGGAGGAAGAGGCTGGCCCCAACACCGCCCCTACAACACCTAAAACAGCGCGCAGACCATCATTCCACTTCTCATCCTCCTTCGCTCCTTTCGAGAATTATCGTACTAATCTGTTCCCTCGAAGAGCAAGCACTACAGACTTCACGCCTCAACAACGCGAAGGTGTTTCGGAAGATGAAGGTCGTCAAAGGCTCAGCCGACGGATGAGGAGTCGCCCATGGGCAAATACTCGGGTTGGCAGCTATAATGACCACCCAGATACCAATCCGGATGAACAACGCCCGAGCAACTTGAGGCGATTTACCGGGCTTGCTGGACCATCTGGAAACGATGAAAGCCTAACGGCGAGCTGGAGACGCCATCGAGCCGAGCGAGGCACCAGTGCCAGTGCTCAACGATGGAAACAAATCAAAGCAGGTCTGAAACTTATTGGGCAGCGACGAAAGCCAGAGAATACAGTGGACAATAAAAAATCCGCAGAGTTACTTGCTGAACTCGCTTCGGCCGTGCCTGCTGCGCTTATACTGGCCAGCGCATTCCAACGAGATGAGCACGGCAGTAGAAAGATCCCGATTCTTTTGGAGCAATTGAAGGTTCGTGTTACGGACAGCCGGATTGATTCCCACTCCGGTGATCGTCATCTGGTCTTCCGAATCGAAATGGAGTATGGAAGTGGCATGACTCGCATGAAATGGATCATCTTCCGCACGCTAAGAGACTTTGCCAATCTGCATCTCAAGTATAAGCTTCATCTGGGAACTCAGAAGTACATTCAACTACGCACGAGTGAGAACAGCCCGAGTCTCCCCCGATTCCCTAGAAGTGCCTTCCCCTACATGCGAGGTGTGCGAGGCCTTGAAAGTGAATTTGAGGATGAAGATGAAGAGGGTGGTTATGAGACTGGCGCCGAGGGAATGAGTGGAACGGAGAGGCCTCCGATGAAGAAAAAGCAGAATCAACAAGCACACCAGCGTCGAGTCTCTGGTCCGCTTCCTCGCAGAAAGTCCAGCCTCACCAATCAAGAAGGAGACACAGCCGCGGGACCTTCGTCCACTAACGAAGGTGTCTCGGGAGTCAGGAAAGAAACATACCCCGAGAAGCAGCGAAAGAAGCTTGAGCTCTATCTGCAAAAGATGATTAGGTTCCTAATCTTTAGGGCTGATAGTAATCGCCTGTGCAAATTTTTGGAACTGTCCGCTCTCGGTGTCCGGCTGGCCGCAGAAGGCAGTTACCACGGCAAAGAAGGATTCTTAATAATCCAGTCCTCCAAGGGTCTCGATTTCCGAAAGGCGCTCACCCCGGCTCTAGTCAAGAAGCGCCATTCGCCCAAATGGTTTTTGGTCAGGCACAGCTATGTAGTCTGCGTGGACTCCCCCGAGGAGATGAATATTTATGATGTCTTCTTGGTGGATGCCTGGTTCAAGGTTCAGACACCGAAGCTTAGTCTTCGCAAGCAAAATCCAAGGGATATTGCCAAGTCTGCAAAGCAGTCTGCGAGACACCCTCAGCACCACACTCTCCGGCTTGAGAACTCCGAACGCAAGCTCAAACTGCTGGCCCGGAATGAGCGTCAACTCCAACAGTTTGAAGACTCGATCCGCTTCATGAGTGCCAATACTCCGTGGATGCAGCCCAACCGCTTTGACAGTTTCGCACCTGTGCGACAAAACTGCTTTGCACAGTGGCTGGTTGATGCAAGAGATCACATGTGGGTTGTCTCACGAGCGATCAACCAGGCAAAGGATGTCATTTATATCCATGACTGGTGGCTGAGTCCAGAGCTTTATATGCGTCGGCCTGCTGCCATCAGCCAGAAATGGCGATTGGACCGTCTCCTGCAACAGAAAGCTCGGGAGGGCGTCAAAGTCTTCGTGATCATGTATCGTAATATCAACTCCGCTATCCCCATTGACTCGGAGTATTCCAAGTTCTCTCTCCTTGATCTCCACCCCAACATCTTCGTTCAGCGATCACCAAATCAGTTCCGACAAAACACTTTCTTCTGGGCTCATCACGAGAAGCTTTGTCTTATTGACCACACCATCGCATTTGTTGGAGGTATTGATCTGTGCTTTGGGCGATGGGATACTCCTCAACATCTGTTGACCGATGACAAGCCTACCGGCTTTGAAACCACTGATGGTCCCAAAGATGCAGATCAATGTCAACTCTGGCCGGGCAAGGACTACTCCAATCCTAGAATTCAAGATTTCTATGACCTGGATAAGCCGTATGAGGAGATGTATGATCGCAATGTTGTACCCCGGATGCCGTGGCATGACATTTCTATGCATGTCGTGGGCCAGCCTGCTCGAGATCTTACTCGTCATTTCGTGCAACGCTGGAATTACATTCTTCGCCAGCGAAAGCCCACGCGGCCGACGCCCTTCCTCTTGCCGCCACCCGATTTCAATCCAGCAGATTTGGAAGCCTTGGGTCTTGATGGAACTTGCGAAGTACAAATTCTCCGTTCTAGCAGTATGTGGTCGACAGGAACTCCCGATGTCGTTGAGCACAGCATCATGAACGCCTATGTCAAGTTGATTGAAGAATCCGAGCATTTCGTCTACATCGAGAATCAGTTCTTCATCAGCACCTGTGAGATTGAGGGCCGAAAAATCGAGAACCTTATTGGAGATGCCCTAGTTGAACGTATTGTCCGAGCTGCCAAAAATGAGGAAGCCTGGCGTGCCGTCATTGTCATCCCACTGATGCCAGGATTCCAGAACACCGTGGACAGTGAAGGTGGAACCAGTGTTCGCCTTATCATGCAGTGTCAATACCGCAGTATCTGCCGTGGAGAGACATCCATCTTCGGCCGTCTTCGTGCTCTTGGAATTGAGCCAGAGGATTATATCCAATTCTACAGTCTGCGAACTTGGGGCAAGATTGGACCGCAAAAGGCACTGGTGACCGAGCAACTCTATATTCACGCTAAATGCATGGTTGTTGACGACCGTGCTGCTATCATTGGATCGGCAAACATCAACGAACGATCCATGTTAGGTTCGCGTGATTCAGAGGTTGCCTCTGTAGTGCGGGATACCGATATGATGATGTCGAGCATGAATGGCAAGCCATACCTTGTTGGTAGATTCCCACATACTTTGCGTATGCGTCTGATGAGAGAACATCTCGGAATTGACGTCGACGAACTCATGGAACATGACTTTGCTACTGAAGAAGAGCTACGGAAGATCCAGGTCGCTGAGGGGAGTGAGCACCCAGTTGACAACCAAGAACGAAGAAATTCGGCGTCCTCGGCCGTCGAACGACAAGATGAGAGGGATATGGTCGAACGTCGGCATCGTGTCCAGGATGAGTTTCTTTCTCGCTCCGAGGAAATGTATAGCTTCAACCACGATGTAGATTGGGAGCAGGGTTGTAACCCTAACCTCAAATCGAACCGCAAGCTCACTGCCGACCCTCGCGTCACTGAAAATCCTGATCACAGAAAAGACGTGGAAGGGGATGGCGCCGATCATCTGTCAGCTGCTGCTCAGGCTGGATTAACAGTCGGTCGTGATTCGGAGATGGAGCCCAATGGAAGAGAAGCCCTGCTTTCAGCCATCGCTCCTGAGGGGAAGGGCACTGTTGAGCGACCGAGATCATCGCAGCAAAAGCCACCTTCAACACCCTCCACCCCGAAGGACCGCAGACCTGGGTCATCGAGTGAGACCAATCCAATCCCCGAGACCAATGCGACTACACCGTCACAAGGCTATGGACTTAATGGAGCGTCGAGCCGCGAGTCCGAGACTAGCGGTACCGGTTCGAACACGGCTAAAGAAGAAAATGAACACTCCAAACACCACCATCCGTCTGTTCCGGATCCCAAGCGTATCTTCATCGACAACGACTGCATGAGGGACCCGATCATCGATGGCTTCTACCTGGACACATGGCAAGCTGTGGCCGAGAAGAACACTAAAATTTACCGATCTGTTTTCCGCTGCATGCCCGATAGCGAGGTGAAGAACTGGAAGGAATACAAGGAGTATGCCACCTATGGCGAGCGCTTTGCAGAGATGCAGAGCCAACAGGGCAACAAGCCAGCCCAACCTCAACAACCTCAACAAAAACAAAATGGCTCTTCTCCAGCCGGTCCTACGGTTAGCTCTCCGATGTCGATCGCTTCTCAGATGTCTTTCATCACTCCAAAGGCCGAAGGATCGCAGGCAGACCCGAAGAGCCCCCAGACAATTAACGAGAAGGTCGTAACTGGGAATGACGCTGGTCGTCCACAGTCTGAGCAGTTAGCGAAGCAGGAGACGTTATCATCTATCGATGAGAAGGCCGCACTCAAGACGGTTTCGGATCCGAACCTGTTGGCCAGTGTTCCGAACGGGAACGGGACCAGCGACGACAATAGTTTCGTCGTCGGTGATGATATCGAGAAGGCACGAACAACCTCGCCTCATGTCGATTACTCTGAAGCCGTGAACCTGAATCTGAACTCGAGCCATTCTCGGAGACGAAGACGCAGAGCTACAACAATTGGCTCAAAGCGTGACCCCCATGGCACAGATGAGTATTTGGACAAGGGCCGTGCAGAGGACCTCCTTAACCATACTCAAGGCCATCTCATCATGTGGCCTTATGACTGGTATGTCTCAACAACGCTTCCATTGGATCTCAGGATATCCACTGACCAATTCTATTTACAGGCTCGAGAAAGAGGAGCAAGGTGGAAACTGGCTCTATGCTTTGGATCAGATTTCTCCTCTGGAGATCTAGTAAGTTGTCTCTCCTTGTTGCTTTCCGAACGGAATATTAACGGATATATAGCAACTAATCTCTAATTGCACTTGACGGCGTCTTGTTCGTGCTTGTCTACTTGGTGTCTGTGTTGGAATTCGCGAGCGCCGCTATAGCGATTGATGCATTTTCATCTTCTTGGGCCTTCTTGGGTCTTTGCCTAGTCATCCTTCGGAGTTTTCATGCATCACGGCGTTCTCTATGTTACCCCTACCTAAGTAGCGCAATAAGTAATCATCCCGTTTCGAATACGGAGATAGTATATTATCCCGCCAAGGTCCTGTGTGGTGTGTAATAGACGTACTATTTCAACGGTTACTGATGAAACGGCTTGTACTTTAGTAGAATAATGCTAAACAGCAGAAGAAAATTGAATTCATGATTATATATCTATGAAGAAGTAGGCTCTTCCGCAACGTAGTGCAGGTAAGCTCCCAGCAGCTTGGTTCCCTCAATGTAGTTTCTCTTGTCAAGCTTCTCGTTGACAGAGTGGGCAGCATCGGTCGAGCTTCCCATGGGGAGAAGCAAAACGTTCTTGCCGGTAGCTTGCTCGAAGGTCAATGTGACAGGGATACTATCAATGGTTAGCTGCGGGACTATTTCATTTATGGGAAAAGAAGAATCTCACCTTCCACCCTCGCGAGTCATATCAGGCTCGACTCCGAAGACCTGCTGAACAGCCTTGCTGGCAGCCGAGAAGTTCCAGTGCTTGGGGCTGGCGACCCACCACTTGCCGTCGTGCTGCAGCCAAACATCCAAAGTGTTCTTGGTGTTCAGCTTGGCGAACTCGGCCTTCACATAGTCGATGACCAGCTTGGTCACATCTTCGCTCTCCATATTGGGCACGGTACGAATAGAGAATTTACCAATCACCTTGGCAGGAATGACGGTCTTAGCACCGGGGGCCGAGTAAGCACCCTCGATACCGTGGATGGACAGAGAGGGATAACGCCATCTGGCCATCAGGGTACGCTCCTTGGTGGGGTGGATACCTGTCTCAGCACCCAACGACTCGTGGAGGTTGTCCATAGTGTAGCTGATCTTTCCATAGAGAGTCTTCTCCTCCTCAGTCAAGGGAGCCACCAGATCCATGATACCCGGAATCAAGATGTTACCCTGGGCATCAACCAGCTTGGACAGAACGTTGACCAGATCAGTCATGGGCTCGTGGGCAGAACCGCCAAAGACACCGCTGTGCAGATCTTGAGCGGGGCCCGAAATGCTGATGGAGTAGTAGTTGCAGCCACGCAGACCATAGGTGAGACAGGGCTTCTCGGTGCCGAGCCAGTAGTTGTCAGAGATACAAACGGCATCCGTGTCCTTGAAGTACTTCTTACTCTCGTCCTTGATGAAGTCATCCAGGCCCTCGGATCCATACTCCTCCATTCCCTCGAAGCAGCACAGCAAGTTGACGGGGAATTCGATGCCAGCCTTGCGGTGGGCATCGATGACGTTAAGCCAACCCAAAACGGGACCCTTGTCATCGGTAGAGCCACGGCCGTACATCCGATCCTTCTCGTCAATAGTCAACTCAAAGGGCTCGGTAGCCCAGCCGTCTTCCTTCAGAGCCGGTTGCACATCGTAGTGTCCGTAGACCAGAATAGTTCGCTTGTTCTTATCGTTACCGTATCTCGCAACCACCACGGGTGGCAGCTCGAGGTGCTCTTTGCCAGGCTGCTTGCCCAATGGTCGTTGCTCAACCTCGGCTCCAAGAGCTGTGAGCTCATCGGCAAGGAATTGACCCATCTAGAAAAGATTAGACCCTGGATTTGGATGTCTGCTGGGAAACTCACGCGGAACACATCCGGTCGGTTCTCATCTTGCGCCGAGATCGATGGGATCGCAACCGCCTTCCGTAGACCTTGACCAAAAATCAGCGAGGACCTTGCGAGAAACCAGTATTACCTACGATCGATGAAATCGTTGGACGAGGCGTCGACCCTTGTGACTGTTAGTTGACGTCTCTCTTTCAAAGATTAGCATACTTACTGCTTGAAAAAGGGCTCTAGCTGGGGAGCCATTTTGGAATCACTGATATAGCCGTAGAAGAAGCGGCGAGAGGAGAGAGGCGAACGAACAGCTGGAGAAAATCGAGAAGAAAAAGGAGCGAGTTTGAATGAAACGCGACGGAGGGGAAAGAGGGGCATTGCCGTCTTTGCCCTTTGGTAACCGGAGAGAGTCTAGAGGTGACTTCTTATCACGTAATTTTCTATTGGCCCTATCACAGCGATGTGGTCAGCGGACGGGTTCTAGGCGACTGAGACATGGACTTTGGCATATTTTAGGCAAAAGATACAGTCGAGACATTAGAATTCCCCCGTTGATCCTTATTTCTATATAGCTCTTGATAAAGTAGAAGATTTGGTATGGAATACATAAACAATGCTACAAATAAGCTAGAATACATGGATTTTTCTTTACAAAGCACCCCCCCCCCCCGAAGTATCATGCTGCCACTATGCATCTCGTCCCCAGGCCTCGCGCCGCAGTTGACGGTCCTCTCTGGCCATGCGGCGCTTGGGTCCCCATCGCGATTGCACGGCCTCCAAGATCCGGGCCTGGATCTCTCTCTTCTCTGGGCTTGCCTGGCAAACCATGGCAATAAAAACGGGCGAGCATTCAAACCGTTTGGCAAGCTTGTTTCGGCTCCAGGTCATGGGATCGTTCATGCGGAGTTTGCGGATTTCTTCAATATCCGAAGGGGTGAGGTGGTATTTCCTTTCGGGCACGGACTTGTAGACACCGGGAAGATCGTCGGCATTGGGGGTCGCAGTGGAAGAGAGGATTGATGCTTTCCGAACATCATCGGCTGGCAGGAATTTGGATGGGGTGTGGTAGGCATTTGGAGCACTCGATGGCGGGTTGTGGATAATGTGATCGTGACCCAGGTTAGACGGGTCAAATGAGGAGTCTGGCTTCACACGTAGTCGCTGCTTGGTTCGTCGGTATGAAGATTGGTTTCGTCGGAAGCCTAAAGCCAGCGAATCCGACAAGGAGGGAATAAGGAATGGCAATGTGAGAAATGGCCGCTTCGTCGCGGCAATGAAGGTCGCCATTGCTTCTGGTCAATGGGGGGGATTGATCAGAAACTAAAATGATGGAAGAGAAGGGGTTAGTAAGTCTGCATAGATAGTGGTTGCAATGATTCAACCAACCTAAACGGAAGAGTGAATTTGGGGGTGGAAGGACTGGACGTGTTGGCGTCTCTTGCGCTCGAACCCGAACTTTTCCCCTGGTCTCGTGACCCTGATCTGGGTGTATTTGCAATACCGTATTGAAATATACGTATGTATCCGGTACCTGATAGGCCTTTGTTGTGAGTGCCTTTCCAAAGTACCGAATACAACTTATCTCCGTCCTTACGTACTGCCCCAAGTAGGTAATAATCCTCCCCGTTTGGGCCCGTTGGGGCTTGTCACCTGGTCTACTCCAGTTACGATGTCTCACAGATGTCATCAAGACTTTTGCTAACTCCCATATACCCATATACTCTACTTTATTGATTATGTCCAGATTTTGTTAGTTCATCTTATCGAAATGTCGGATATCGAAATGTCGAGATTTGCAGCCCAGACAGAGAAGCCAAACGAGGCTGAAGCGAGTACACGAGCGAAGCCCACTGCTCTCACATGGGACAATCAAAGCGACAAAGGTTGCATATCGCCTGTGAGGTCATTCGAAGGCCTGCGAACACCAAATCATGATTCGCCCAAGTACATGCGACACCCCTCGTCGCCTGAAAGCTCATCCTATCTGCCGTCTCGTATACATTCCCCCGCCTCTCAGATATTCGAACGAGACGTGGAAGATATAGTGCCAGCGCAGGCGTCGCCTTCGATCCCTACGCATATTCGAACCGATAACTATATTCCACCGGTCCTAGAAGCATCCTCGGCCGCGATCACAGATGACCACCTCGATCCAGATTCGGTCGAGATTGTCACACATAGCCTACATCAGCCAGCAGGTGGTCCATCGGGAGAGCAGTCAATGTCGTCTTCCAGCATTGATCATCTCTTGGGCCAGCTCGATGGAGATGAACTCACGTCCAGTTATGGCGCACTGGACACGGCGGACGTACGTCGGCTGAGCTTTATTTCCTTTGCCGACGTTGTCAACGCCGAGCATGCAGAAACAAATGAAGCTCATGCTGGCTTAATATCTCGGGGGCGCCTAGCAGATTTCAATCAATCTCCGTCTCCATTGCGCTCTCCATCTTCTTCGCGTGGACTCGGCACTTCGCCGCCAACAAGCCGTGCGACTTCCTTCAGAGGGCTTGATATGTCTCCTACTCGGTTCCCTACTTCTAGTGTTGCCCAAAGCCCAATCTCGTCCAGTTTTGGGGGCGACCTCAATATAGAGACCATGCGACAGGCTTTGAGAAAAACCGCTAGTGGAGACCTGGGCGTCACAAGCCGGGCCGTGAGTACCATAGGGGATGACCTGCTGGATCGTACCATTTAGCAGATTAAAGTGCTTTTGTTTGGCGTTTGGACAGTGAAAGGCTCGGAGCAGGATCTCTTTTTTTTTCATGGTACAGTGTGATAATCTACGGTCTGCTTTATATGATATATACCGCAATCTACGGATCTGGATATTCCAGAACCTGAAAAGTCCAAGTTCTTGTGTAATGCACAGGCCAACTTTGATTGAATTGGGGTAGACTATACACTTGCCTGCCCAACTTTTTGCACTGCGTCCAAGGCCCGTTGTACCCGGGCGCGCAGGTCGGCTGCATCTTCTAATCCAACACTGATTCTCACTAGATCCGGATCGACATCGAAGGTTCTCGCCTGATGCATGTTAGTCATGGCCTGGTCAACATTCGCGTGGTGTACTTACCCAATCTAATTCGCCGTAATGGGCCAGGAGGACGTATGGAGAGCTGAAAAGTTAGTAAAACCCAAGACAGAGGGCTTGCGTACTCACCTCAATGTAAAATTGGTCCCAAGGCTGGGTCCCTTGAAAACCTCGATGGTGTCAAAAAAGGCAATCGCCTCGGCTGTGGTGTGGAATGTCACAGAGAAGAGACCACCATAACCACCATTGGCATTGCGGAGACTATCATATAGTGGTTTCGAGGGGCTGTATTTCGGGTAGTAAACATCTTTCACTGTGAAATTGTCAGTATAGCTCTCACTCCAGGTAAATGCATGCTTACCTAGGGGGGACTCCTTCAGCATCGCTGTAATGTCCTCAGTGGTAGCATTGATCTGTTCAATGCGAGCAATAAAATCACGGCTGTTTCTCTCCAGGAACACGACATCCTCAGCCCAGTAGATATCTTCGTAGTCCTGGTTATATGTCTCCTTGATGGCCGCATAATACGGCGCTTGAGGGTTGAGCACAGCACTTCCTCCCATGACGTTGCTATCTCCGCTGAAAATCTTGGTCAAGCTGCTGACAACGATGTCGGCCAAGTGCAAAACGTTGATGTTTATAAAGTTGCTGATAGTTTCGTCGACCACCACCGCAAAGCCATATTGGTCTGCCAAAGCGCGAATCCGTTTGAGGTCCGGTGTTTTGAGAAGAGGGTTACCTGGTACTTCGGTGAAAAGCCCAAGGAAACGCTCACCAGCCTTCAGTCGAGATTCCAGATCATCCAGATCTTCCGACGAGCCGTGACCATAGAAGACGCAGCCTGGTCCCCACTTTTGGAGAATCTTCAATGTATCCGTGTAAGGGAACCCGAAACAAATTGAGGGCAATTCGCCTCTAGTAGCCAGTAAGGTCTGATGAGCGTTGAAGATAGCGCTCATACCCGCAGGGTAAAGATAGACATCCTCCTCGGAGATACCGGCGACTCGGCCTTCTGATGAAGCTGTCTTTAAGGCTTCTGGCAGTTCAGCATTGGCAGTCAAGACACCCGCAATACGTTTGCGAACAGCCAGCTTGGCCTGGTTGGCGAGAGAAGTGCTCAGATTTCGGCCAAACCGCTCCTCAATAAACTGACCATAGTCTCGGCCGCCGTCTTCGGTGTTTGATTCGGGAGGAGATTCTCCAACAGAGCCCTTTCTCCCTTTACTGATACCTTGGTATCTGCGGGGTCCCTTACAAGGACGCTGGGAGACTGACTCCGCAGTCGCAAGGCCCTTGTCTTCCACCAAGAACCCGTCCTCCAATGCTCCAAGGCAGAACTCACCTCGTCGACTGGAGATGCCATTGCCCGAGTGTTGCCATACCTGCTTGGTAATGGAGGCGTATTCTTTTGGGTAAATGACACACGACAAGGAAGATGTCACTGTCGATCCGGATTCGGTATGCGGGGATGGGACGAAGTTGACAATCCGTACTTTGTATGCCTGATCTGCAGGGATTTTGCTAAGCAAAAAAGAGTGACAGATGCGCGCTGACTTGACTGAGGCGAATAGGGTTGCAGATTCGAGGTTGGGGTCACCGACTCGGCGAACAATCTCCTGCGCGAGCTTTTGAATAATAGGATGGACGAAGAATCGGGGATAACCGCATTGCATCTTGTCTATCACCCAAGCTTCTCCTTCTTCGTAGCCGATGCTTTCCCTCCATGATGGAAGCGATACACTGACGGCCTTGTAAATGTTAGAAGAGTCATGGAGGGGTTGCGGGGAGTTAGCCATACATGGTCAGTGTTTGGAGGCACAGGTCCTCCCAAAGCCTGCAACATTTTCAATTGAAAATAGAAACCAGGTGGAATTTATGATCTATTGCAGATAATTGCTCTAGAATAATAGAGAGAGGGAAAAAAAAAGACTGTAAGGTAAATGATGCGATTCCTCCACTCAGCGACTTCGGCGATGCTCCGGTACCTGATAAATTACGAGTGAGTCAGCCGTACGGTAACTATTTACCAGATACAATACCGTTATCGCCAAAAAAAAATCTCGAGGGCCTCTACTGACAACTGCTACGCTCACGAAATGTCGGACCACACATCCAAGCGCAGAAAGCTCAGTCCTTCCCCGGAGAATGCTGTTACTAGCGCTTCGACGAAAAAGACATCGAAAGTGACCGAGAAGCGAAACCCGGCTCGAGGCAAAGATGAGCGCTCCGCAGAGCTTGCAATGGCCAGCGGCTTTTACAAGTCCAGTTTCTTCAAGCTGCAAATGGACGAGCTGCTGGCGGGATTGAGACCTAACTACAGCAAGCAAGTCTCAAAGGTTCAGGATACACTGCAGCAGATCAAAACCGCTATTGAAGGCCTGCCCGAAAAGTCTCCACAATCTGTCCCCGATGCCGAGAAGGAGCTACGTGCTTCTGGTCTGGTGGTCCCATGGCCTGAGCCTCGACCGAGCAAGGATGTCAAGTACAGTATGGCATACGCAAAGCCAGCGAACATCAACGTGGTAGGTAGCTTTGCGCTGAAGATAGGCGCTCGCAATTTGGCGTCGCGCCCAATTGATCTGGCAATCACTATGCCAAGTTCGCTCTTCCAGGAGAAGGACTATGTCAACTTCAGATACTTCCACAAGCGGGCCTACTATATCGCGTGTGTGGCCGCTGGGGTTCAAGAAACCGCGAACACCCTCGGGTTTGATATCAAATTTGGTCCTCAGGATGGAGACAGTCTCCGACCTATTATCTTGTTGGAACCACGTCAAGCCGAATCTTCCAGGCCTACAATCCGGATTCTGACCGCAATCGATCCTACGTTGTTCCCAATCACAAGGACGCTCCCACTCAAAAGCAATATCCGACAGGCCTCCAATAACTCGGAGATCGGCGAACCGACCTCGTATTACAATGCCAGCCTCCGGTCCGATGCCACAGTTTCTCTCTATCACAAGTCTGTTTACTCGGCCTCCAAGAAGTGCGATTCTTTCAGCGACGCATGCATTCTTGGCCGCACTTGGCTGCAACAAAGAGGCTTCCATACCCCCTTCCAGAATGGAGGCTTTGGTGGTTTCGAATGGACTGTACTCCTGTCTTTGCTGTTTGAGGGCGGTGGTCCAACTGGACAACCGGTCCTGCTACCATCATACAGCTGCTATCAAATTTTCAAAGCCACTATTCAGTTTTTGGCCGGCAGGGATTTAACCACTCCTCTATTCTTCGGCCATGAGGTCCCAGTTCCTTCCGGAGTACCTGTTGTCTTTGATGGCCGCAGAGGGTTGAACATACTTTACAAAATGACGCCTTGGTCATACACAACACTGCGTCACGAAGCCGCCATCACCCTAAAAATGCTCAACGAGTCACGAGAGGACAACTTTGATAAGGTTTTCATTCTCAAGGTTGACGAGCCAGTCCTCAGATTTGACCGCTTGATCTCATTCCCCAAGTCATTCAATGGAGACACACTCCGCGCTCTTCACGAACAGAATGCTTTGTATAATGTTCTTTCCCGGGCTCTGGGAGACAGAGTCAAACTTGTCTCTATTGTGGGCCACGCCATTGATTCGTGGTCGGTCAAATCCAAGCAGCCCAAACGGTCGAGTCAGGGTGTGTCCGTGGGACTGTTGCTGAACGCCGAAAACGTCGGACGAATTGTCGACCACGGCCCTGCTGCAGAAGAAAAAGAAGAGTCTGCTTCCTTCCAGGCTTTCTGGGGTGAAAAATCGGAGCTTCGACGATTCAAGGATGGCAGCATCCTAGAGAGTCTTGTGTGGTCTGATGAGTCGGAGACGTCTATCATCTATCAGATTTTGGAGTATATCCTCCAACGGCACTTCAAAATCACCACCGATGAATTTGCATTTGTTGGTGATGAATATGACGAGCTCCTCAAAGAGCATGGCGATGGCATTCTGGCATACTCCAGCCCTGCTTTCCAGTCAATCGACAATGCCTTCAAGGATCTCGAGAAATCCATTCGCGGTATGGACGAGGTGCCACTGGAGGTACGTCATTTGGCCCCGGCCAGTTCGCTTCTTCGTTATACCTCCCTCAGACCAACGGGACCCACGGACGTTGTTCTTCAGTTTGAAAGCTCCTCGCGTTGGCCTGATGACTTTGCTGCTATCCAAATGACCAAGGTTGCATTCCTTTTGAAGATTGGAGACTCTCTGGAATCTTCAGGTGCAGCCTCATCTTGCCGTGTGGGCCTCGAAAATGAATCGAGCAAGGTGATCAACAATGCTTATTTGGAAATTCCCCATTCCTCTGGTGTGTTGTTCCGATTGAGAATTCACCACGAACGTGAACAAATCCTACTCGAGCGCAATCTCAAGGACCGAAATCTGAGTCCCCGGGAGCGAGAAGAGGCCGCCTATGCTCTCTTCGCCTACAAGAAAACCTTTGTCCAGACTCCGCGCTTGACACAGGCACTCCGAAGCCTCTGCACGCGCTTTCCACTGTTGTCGCCCACCATTCGTCTTACCAAACAATGGTTTAATTCTCACCTGTTCACTGCCCAGGTCAGCGAAGAGTTGGTTGAATTGCTGGTAATTCGCACCTTCACCCAACCTAACCCTTGGGAATGTCCCTCGTCTGTCATGACCGGATTCCTGAGAACTCTCCACTCCCTCTCTCGGTGGGACTGGCAGCAGGAGCCGTTCATTGTTGACCTGGGAGGTGATCTGGCCCCACAAGTGACGGCAAATATCCGCACTCGCTTCACAGCTTGGCGCAGCATCGACCCTGCGATGAACACTCTGGCTCTTTTCGTCGCCTCTGACCTCGACACCGAAGGAGTGACCTGGACCCAATATGAGATGCCCTCCAAGGTTGTGGCTGCTCGAATGTCCAGCCTGACCAAAGCAGCAGTAAGCCTGTTACGGAGCAAAACCCATGATATGGAAGTTTCCGAGCTTTTTGATACCTCGCTTGCTCCCTATGACTTTGTCATCCATCTTCGCCCAAAGCTGTTTAGCCGTTCCTCGACACCCAAATTCAAGAACTTGGCCGAACCCCGTGCCGGAATGATGCAGACCATCAAGTCGTTTGTCTGTGATGTGCAAGCCTGTTACGGCCAGAGCATTCTGCTCTTCCACGGAGACGATCGTTGTGCAGTGATTGCTGGCCTTTGGAACCCGCAGACTCTGAAGTCGCGAACCTGGAATCTGAAGACGGCGTACTCAACTGCCCCAGGTGATACTGAGGGTGAGGTTGTAATCAACCAGACTGCTATTCTGAACGAGATCGCGCGGCTGGGCAATGGGCTCATCGAAAACATTAAACTTCATTCAGAATAGGTCTTGTCTTGATTCAATTGGTGTACATTACCCTACAAAATAGTTCGAGCATATGTAGCATTCTAACGAATTCCGTTTTTCTTCAACTTATGAACTCTTAGCCTCGAGTATCATAGTAGATGATCCTCTAAATACCCTAATACTCTTAGTGCTAGACATTCCCAGACATCATCTTGATATCGATGCCTAAGGTGTCAACAATTGATAACATTGTGCAACCATCAGCCTTTCATCTTCTCTCATCAACACAACAATGGCCAATATAACACGGGGCCAGCGAGCGCTCCACGCTCAATTAAGATCGTGGAATCACTCTTGTATCCACCCTCGCCCCCAATTCCAGTTGCTGCCCATCCGCGCGCAATCCCAGCTCTTCTCAACCTCCTCCAGTCAGCAATCTCGCCGACCCTCCCCGTCACCTCCTACCACAACCACCGTCTCAACTCCCTCCAAATCTGAAATCAATGCCCCAATCAGCACCCACCCCGCCACGCTCACAACCCCATCCCCCCTAAGCCCCTCCGCAGGCGCAGCGGACAAATTAAAACGCCTTGTCGGAATCGGTCGTGCGTACCTCACCTTCTACAAAACAGGCCTGAAGAATGTCTACCACAATTACCGTGCCTCGCTCCCTCTACGGAGAAAAATAGGTCTACCCGCCTATATCCCTATATCCCCACACAACATCCACCACCGTAGCGCGCCATCAATAACAGAAGAATCCAAGCTCGGCCGCGCGCAGTTCCAGCTCGTCCGCCGCTCAGCCCGCGATGTCCGCCGCATGATCCCCTTCACGATGATCCTGATCGTCTGCGGGGAACTCACGCCGCTTATCGTTCCGTTTTTCGGCTCTGCTATTACGCCCGCGACGTGTCGTGTGCCCTCGCAGGTGGAGAAGGAGCGCGGTGTTGCTACGGTACGCAAACTCGCGGCGCTAGATGCGTTTGTTGCGGAGAATAAGGATCGCTCGGTGCATTTGCTCAAGGCGGGCAGTGCGGAGCAGTTGGCTTTGCTTGCTAAGTGTTTTGCGGATCCTGTCTGGGTCGCCGGTGCGAGCTCTGCGGATGTGTTGCGTGCTTGTGCTGTTTTTGGTCTGGTTAAGCATCATAATAGGACTGCGGGTGAGGCGCTTGCTGGTTTGATCTACCGGCCTCGGCTGGCGAAGCATGTCGAGTACCTGGCTAATGATGATGGGATGATTCGTGGTGGAGGGGTTTCGGCTATGAATGCTACTGAGGTGCGGATTGCCGTTGAGGAGCGTGGTGGTGTGGACGTCACTTCTGGTGTTCAGGACCGGAAACGCGTGGAGTTGGAGAGGCGCTGGTTGGAGCAGTGGCTGGCTGTTCGTGGAAAAAGTCCCAAGGCCAAGAAGCTGTAGTTTCTTGGACTGATACACTGGAGGTCCTTTCTCGGGGGTTTTTTGTAATATATATATCCAACATTTCGACTCATAAAAGGGCTGTTTTTCGTCCAGCTTTGCTATCATTACTAGCCGCAATACTAGCTAGCCTCGGAGTGCAATCTCAAACTGTATATAAGAAGACATGTACGGAAGGAAAATCCAAATGTCCAAGCGCTCAAAAGTAGCATGTGTCAATTTCGACAGTCAAATAAATGGAAGGGTATCAAGAAACCAGCCTTTCTGATGGAGAAGGCAATCAATTGAAAAAAAAAAACCCCAAGTTTATATACTCACCATCAGTCCACTGTAATTGAAGAAGCCGCAGCCTGCGCCTGCGCCTGGCTACGGACTTGCTTCGCCCACCGCAGACCACAGCTATTGCAAAGATCCCGGTTTCCACTCGGACCACGCCGCCACTCGGGGGTGTTCTTTGTGTTGCACATGGCGCAAAACTTCTCGATCGCATTAGCGCCTTGCTTGCGCTTACGCTTCCTGCGGCGAGCCAGCAGACGTTGCAGTTCATCGGCCAGAGTGCGGTTCTGCTTCTCTAGCTCGCGCAGCTCGATTTGCCAGCTCGATCCGCGCGTGGGATTGAGCTCTGTAAAGAAGGTTGCTGGGTCGGTAGAGGGAGAAATGCTGCGGTTGCCACTGGGCAGACCGTTGAGGCCGATCAGGTTCGCTAGATCGGGCATGCGTTGACCAAGGGCACCGTACTGCTGGGGCGGGGTGGGGTTATCGACGGTAAGTGTTGTGTTGCGTGCAGTACCGGTAAGCGTAGCGAGACTGTTGTCTTCGGCGGCTGAGATGGCGGTGGCGGATGGAGGAGAGGCTCGAGCGAATCGTATCTGGGCGACGAGGAAGGTCGGTTTTATCCCCTTCGGTGTATCGCCGGTGTACAATGTGGTATGTGCTGAAAGGGCATGGCCTTTCTTATGCCATATTTTGTGTTTGAATGAGGGTGGTTCATTCGTTTCCTTGTCGCTACCTGTAACGGTGGATAGGCCAGCTCCTTGTCCACCACAGGCAGCCTCCAGGGCTTGTGTGATCGTGGCATTGCCACCAGTCTCAGGCTCCATAATCTCTTGTATGCCTTTACCAATCAAATCGTCAGGCGAGCGGCCGAGCACCGGCTTCACCTTGGTAGTAACGAACAGAATCACACCAGACAAAGAAATCTTGGCCCAAATGTCATTCTCGGCCAGCGCGGCGGATGAGCCCAGGCGGGCAATCTGATCCAAGGAGTAGACGGGTCGTGGGCGGCCGGTCATGACAAGGTACCTCCGGCCCTGATTCGGATCGATATGCCAGGCGCCGTGACTCTCGAACCACATATATCCTTGGTGCTTTTGTCTGATACGATACACGACACTCACTGGAGCGGTTGTCGTGCTCCCTCGCAAGTCACGTATTACAGGACCAATATCACTGGGATGGCAGATGGCGGACAGGGTCTTGCCGATCAGTTCGGCCGGATCGTACTCCAGAATCTTGTGGCAAGAGGGCGACAGATACAGAAATTCACCGTTGAATGAAAGCACATGGATCACATCATCGGTATTCTCAACCAGAATGCGGTCCAGGTAGTGCCGGTTGACATCATTGCCAGCTGCACCCATGGCGTTGAGGATGTTAGTCACTTCGTCATGGCCATATCGCAACACGAGGTCTGGTCGTGAGGAGCGCGCATCTTGTGGTGGAACTATATACTGTGGCAGATGATCGCGCTGGTAGTTTATGGTATAATTACCATCTATCCAATGTTAGTGAGGGCACTCGCCACGAGGAATGCAAAGCATACCAGGATTCCTTCCCCTCACAGCATCGGGTTTTTCAACCAGATCGACCTGAAACCCGACATAATACCGATAAACATCCGAGTCCCACTGGATGGGGATCATCGTGATGAGATTCATGAAGGGTTGTCCACCCTTGCGGTAGTTAATTATACTGGCCTGGATCTCATTGCGATCGTCGATGGTTGACCGCAGCCGATAGACGGTCTGTCCATCGACAAAGGTCCGCTTGGCACCAGAGTTGATTATGCCGTCGGGTGCTTGGAGAAATCGACAGTTCCGGCCAACGATTTCATCTTTAGTATAGCCGGTCAGTCGTTCAAAGGCCTCTGATACATAGACGATTGGATGATCCTCGACCAAGATGTCACACATCACAAAGGCACATGAGAGATCGACCGCGCCAATGTTGATTTTAGGGTTGGGTCGCATAGCCACACGGCCCTGAATAAGGTTAATATATCGTCGGATACTCTCCATGGAGATGGAAGACTTACCAACGCTCCCAGCACGTCAAAGCCAGTCGTTGAATAAATGCCGGTATGTTCAGTCTTGCCAATATCGGGCTTTGCTAGCCCCGGCGCGAAATCCTCTGGTTGCACGGTCCCACGTCAGTCATACCATGGGACGGAGCTAAGAGGGAGTTACCAGACACAGACACAACTCACCTTTAGTAACAACGGGTTTCTTGGGCTGGATAGCCACCGGTTGCGATGGACGGTACGGCTGGCCAACAGGCAGGCGGCGCTCTGGAGGTTGTCGCTGCGCCCGCTGCACCTGCACCGGCGCCTGCGCCTGTGACCAGTCGCTCGTGCGACCCGAGAAGTCGGAGTCCTCGAAATTTGCTGTTGAGTCGGTGCTTGTATCATATCGTTCCTTGGGCGCTGGCCGAGCGGGCTCGGAATATTGGGGTAGCGGCATAGGTTGTGGGAAAGGCGGATATGCAGACTGAAACTGTGAATGATCCATCTGCGGAGGCAACCCCATGATAGCCGGGTACGTGGCTGGGATATCGTAGGAATAGGCATTGGTAGCATTCGTATTCATTGGCATTGAAATACCCGAGGTCGGAATCCCGTCGTATGTGAGCATGGCATTAGACCTCGGTCCCTCCAGGTCCGACGGCTGTGAGCGTGCGAAGTTCTGGAGCGGGAGATCCGCATCCTGGGATAGCATGGCACTGAAGGCATAATTATTCTGATTGGAAAAGGTTGTATATGGCGGATTGGTGGGTTGTGAGGGAACCTGATGTTCGTCATCATAGTCCAAGTTGAAGCTGTTCATGTTGGTTAAAATATCTGTGGCCCAGACCGAGTTCCATCGCCCCGCAGGATGACACCCTGGGCAAAAGTGAGAATTGCCGTCGAAATATGCTTGAAAATTGTTTATCAAAAGGAATGTTCGATATATTAGAGAGATGGAGGAGGAGGAGACTGGCGAGAGGGTGTGTGTGTGAGAGAGAAGAGAAGAGAACTTGATATCTCCAATGATGTGGAGAAGTACTCGCCAATCTTGATATATGGGGATTTGCCATCCAGGATTTGTAGGTGTTGGATCTTGTTTATTTATGTATTCTTTCTGTTTATGTTTCTGTTTCTGTTTCTGTTTCTGTTTCTATTTCCCTTTCTTGATTCTATATCTGTATCTATATATATGCTAAATTGTAGGTTGTAGGTTGTAGAAAGGTGTCCTGTATGAAGTGTATGCCATGCCATGCGCAAACCCTCACAATGACAATGGCAATGGCAATGGTAGACTGGAAGAGTTACTATAGTATATAGTATTAGCTACAGTCAAAGATAGAGAGCTCCCAGGGCTATATTATGTAGTATATATATAGAGCTAGTATATATTGCCCCTATTATATAAATAAACCCCTGTCAACATTCCCCATTTCCCCTCCTCACTCTTTCTCCAATAATGTCCATTGGCCATGGACAAGATCTCAATCACCATCTGCGGAGATGGTGGATGTGGTATGTTGCTTCTCTTGTCTCCTGGGAATTTCCTGACTCCGTGATTCGGTGCCATGTTTCCGGGTTTCGCGCGATCGAGATCTGATCAAATCGGGATGCAGGCAAATCTTCAATCACGATGCGGCTGGTCCGTAGTCAATGGGTTCACGAGTAAGGATATCTCCCTGGTCTTGGAAACCTAGTGCTAATATTTCATTGCTAGATATGATCCAACAATCGGTATTGCGCCATTCCCACGCCCTTCCAATGCCCTTCCACTTCTAATCGGGCCCAGAGGATTCCTACTCCGTCACTCGCACCGTCGACGGTCGCCCCTACGTCCTTTCCATCACCGATACTGCAGGCCAGGAGGAGTACCGGGGGCTATGGTCTGCCTCGACCCTGAGTTCAGATGCCTTCCTCCTAGTTTACGATATCACCAACCCGTCGAGTCTTGAAACGCTGGATCATTTCATGGAGATGATTGATATGGAGGCGGAACAGCGCGTCGAGGACAACCAGCAACTGCGCCAGAGGTTGGGGAATCGATATGGGGGTCTCGGCCACGTAGGCATGCCACCGCCGGTCAAAGTCATCGCGGGCAACAAATGCGATCTCAAGGACGGTCGCGCGGTGACATCCCGCGACGGACTGGCCTATGCGCGCAAGCATGGCTGCGGGTTTATGGAGACCAGCGCTCGCGAGACAGTCAACATCGAGGAGACTTTTGCCCGTATGACACACGGTCTGTCAACCAAGAAGGAGAGAGAGAGAGCTAACGGTCGGATAGATTTAATCCGTCGCGTTGTCGAAGCCCGCCGACTCCAATGTCAACAGGGTGTTCTTCCTCCCAGCGAACCATCGCACACGGCGCTCCCGACCAGCACGGTGGACGCAGTTGCAGAGACCAAATCCCGTCGAAGTCGGGCGTGGGAGTTTATCAAACACCGGAAGACAACGGAACCAAACGGCGAACAGGGTCAGGAACAGAGTGAAATGCAAAACGGAACCGAAAAAGAGAAGGGGCCGGGTCAAGGGTGCGAACCGGATGAACGGTGCGCTCGTCAGGTGTGGTGTTTTCGCTGTTGATTTGAATTGCGGAGCGAAGCGAAGCAATTGAAACAGCAACGTATCCATTATGTATAGTACCTGGCATCTGTGGGCAATGTGTATATTTCTGTGTCGTAGCATTGGATCTTGGATCTTGTATCTTGTATCTTGTAGAGGAACATGTACATAAAGTTCGGGGTGAATAGGGTCAAAGGGTCAACGGGCCAGGTCAAGGATGAATGGACTCGGAATGCGTCTCCGACAATCAACTACGGGATATGATGCTGAATAGAGGGAGCTCCCATGGACAAATTGAAGTCTGAATTTGATAGATGATTTCATAGGGATTAGATTTAGATCGTCACATATTTCCAAAAGCAGTAAGTATTTAGCTAAGCTTTGTGAACGGAAACCCAGCCGAGAAGAAAAGAAATAGGAGGAAAATAGGAGACGCCAGCAATCGAAACAGGATATCATTCTAGAAGCGAGGCCTAGCCCTTGCTCACGCCCAACAGGGACATAGTTCCTTATTGGGCGATCCTCGGAATGGTCACGTCATGGACTCGAAGGGCCATCACCTTGACGGATGACAATTGGTGATAGTCTGAGAGGCCTATCATGAATCATGGAGATGACCTCAGGATTGAATAGAATACACAGTTTACAGTAAATGGATAGAATGCAGTCTCGAAGCTATTCGGCATGGGCTTGCCGATTTAATGTCCGCTGACATAGGCAGTATAAGGATTGCATAGTTATGCAAACTGAGGATATTCACCATGTACATCTGTTCTTCTACTCTTCTACCGATGTTGGAGATGTTGTATTCTATATGCTTTCGATATTCGAATTCTCTCTATTCGAATTCTCTCGCTCTGAGGATTCTACCATTCTCCCATTCTCTATAATAATAATCAATATCCACTCCTATACGTCAGAAACACTTCCCAAATGCCGAGTCATCCTGTATTTTTCCCGTAACACCCCCGTACCGTCATTTATGATCTTCGATCCGATCCCTTTTTTATGTCCAGCGAGACTCGAGACTCCAGTGACTCTAAGAAGAAAAGCCAGAGAATATTATTTTTATAAAAATAATAATCCGAAACGAGTAGGGCCCCTCTTTTCGTGATTCCTATATATGCACATCGACGCCCATGGTGACCTGGGATGTTACTTTTCTTTAAGAGTCTATTACTTCACTCGAGCATCTTCCTAGATCACTACTCTCCTCTCTCTATTATTTCTTTAAACCTTCTTATATCCACGGTCCCCAGCATTTCTCTCTCTGCATCCGTCTACTCTATTGGAACTCAATTTCTCTTAATCTGTGAACATCATTATATCATTGACATTTTGACGTCGATCATCCTCCCTCTCGAAGTATAGCTAAGGCTCGGATTCCTGTTCTTCTCTCTACACTTTCGACCACAAATCATGGCAGCTCGACAATCAACACCCACCTCCGAGCACTCGCATTCGGATAGTAATGTCCGTAAAAGAGTATGCAAAGCTTGCGATCGGTGTCGTTTAAAGAAATCCAAGGTATGTACAGCTAAACGAATCAACCCTCCCAACATCCACTGACCCTCCGGACAGTGTGACGGATCCAGTCCTTGTTCCCGGTGTCGTGCCGATAATGCCATCTGCGTCTTTGGAGAGCGCAAGAAGGCACATGACAAAGTGTACCCGAAGGGGTAAGCGACATCAAACAGTCCTAGCTCGAAACTCCTCCCACTGACCAGCTCTCTCCTTCTAGTTACGTCGAGATGCTTGAACAGCAACAATCTTGGCTGGTCCATGGCCTCCAGGAACTCTATCGACGCAACATCGAAGGCGAAGGCTGGCCCGGCGAGCAGCTGAAACTCGAACCCAACGGTCACCCACTCACCCACGACCTTCTCATGCGCCTCGGCGCCCTCGACGGCTCCAAGGGCGAGCGCTTCGAAGAAAACCCCGAAGCCTTACAGCAGGATCTGTGGCACACCAACGCCGGCATGCAACGCCAGGAATCGTCCGACGGTGGCTCCGATAGCCCCCAGTCACCAGTGCCCCGTTCACGCTTCTCCTCCGATGCTTTCTCCCAGCAACACATGCCGCCCACACCGCCCACATATAGTCCCACGACGCGTGCGCCCATCAAGACCGAGCAGCCTTCTCAATCTCAGATGCCCAGCACCCCGCAATTCACGCAACCTTTGTCCATGCAAGGCGTCGTCAACCCACTGGCGTTGCAAAGTCCGCAGCAGTGGCCTAGTAGCGGGTTCAATTCTTTCGACGAGATGGACTTGATGTCCACGGCCGATTACTCCAATATGCCCTTTGACGACCAGCAGTTGTCGTCGCCGATGTTCAATCGCCAGGTGCCCTTGAGCTGTTTGTCGCAAGGGTCATATCTCGATTCCAAGGACTATGACGATTTCAACCAGTTCCTCAATCCGAACCCTACAGAGATCACCTCGATCTGAGCCCTTCTTCTAAGCTATTTTGAGCTATCCTGAGCTATCTTGCGCCATCTTGAGCTCACCCTGAGCCTTATCCTTTCAAGGATCGACTATTTTAACGCCGTATGACGTGATGCATGTATACTATACATGTTCTGTTTTTCTTTCTCTTCTCTTCTGGGGCTATTTTCCCCCGCAAGTTCTGTTGATCGGATTCAGGCGCAATTGGGATCCTAATCACCTCTGTACAGTGAACCGGTTTTCGGAGATTTGGAGTTATTCTTCTTCTATTCTCTTTCTTCTCTTTTCTACACTTTGTTTCCTTTCTTTCTGGCGTTCTAAAACGGGGTTTCAAGGAGTCGTCCATTTATTGTCTAATTAGAATTCAATGAAGTTTTTAAGGTCATGTCACCGTTACACCATCCGAAACGGGAAATGATCTCATTCGACTTGATATCCACTTAGCAGTTACCCAGGTACCGTTCCAGATCGAAAAGATCTACAGAAGTAGCGGAGGGAGATGCCGATTTGCTCTAGCCCTGGAGCCCTGGATCCCTCCATCCTTGCCTTAATCCCTGGAGGGTCATGGAGTTCGAACATCAATGGAGCAAACGGCAATAACTCGGACCTTGATTTGGTATTTTATTTTCTTTTTCGTATTTTTGATTTTTAATAAGATTATTGATCTTCCAGCTGACTCAGCGGCCCATTCCCCACTTTGAGCGATTTTCGGATCCTTTTTGGCTGCTTACGTCAGCCATTGGCCTGCGAGAGCCCGCGAAAAGTCGCCGAATCCCGATTTTTGCCGTTCCGGGGCAAATGCTCCGACGCCAAAATATAAAAAATCGGGACTTTGGCCTTTGGAGATGAGCATGTTCATCCTTATTTGACCGTGGAACTTATGTTATAACCTTCTGGCCAAGCCGTCTCCCTCGTATACAACCTGTTCAGTCACGAAGTATATTTGAACGGCCGAACACATAAGGCCGAGTTATCGCCAAACCTGCTTTCGCAAGAAAATGCCTCTCAATCCCATGCCAATCCAACCTAATACCAACCTAACGCCAACCCAATGCTAAAACTCTATTATATCCTGGTACCTGCCAATATTAATATCAAACCCTTGGCGTGTCTCCTTTTGTTCTTCCGTTCGGTGGGACACGAGTCCGGGGTATAGATCCCTTCGGACGCCGGACCTCGTTCTCTCCGAACGGATGCAGGCTGACCCTAACGCCGATGTGCTATGTCCGTTCTATGCGTGATATAGTGTACTGATCTGATTGGAGAATACCAGTTCGATACACGTTACGGAGTACGTAGTTGGCTTTTTTACCTTTGCGACAACTGAGGTTATACTTTAAAGTCGCTCGCCACAGGTCCAGCCCGGTTTGATATGGATTACGGAAGATGTCACGAGTTGAGCTTTACCCTAATTGGGTCATGGCCAAAATATTCAAAGCCCTCTCTTTTAGTCTAATCAACCTGAATCCGGACCCTCTTAGACAAATAAACACCTCTCAAAGCCTTGGATATTAACATTTATGCTAAACCAAAATAAAGGAGTCATGTTGTCGGTGCTTGATCCCGCAGATTGCGGGGTTGCTAACGTCATGTCGCTTAAAAAATTTAGAGTACATGCTATGCCCTTCTTTCCCCGCCTATCTCATCCTTCGAGAGCAAATCACATAAAAGGAACCGCATCATGTCCGAACAAGCTGCTTTCCACTTCCTGCCTTTGGGCGCCATCATCCAAACCTTCTCCGTCGGTGGTAAGAACATCGTTCTGAATTTCCCTACGCAGGAGGACTATGTCAAGCACAATACCCCACACTATGGTGCCACCATCGGCCGTGTTGCAAACCGTATCAAGGATGGTCTGATTCAGGAGCTAAATGGCCAGAAGGTTCAACTGGTGCAGAACAACGGCCCTAATTCCCTGCATGGTGGGGAGAACAATTGGGCTAAGCGCGTCTTTGACGGCCCATTCACCGTCCAGCGCAATGGTCACGATGCCGTGCACTTCAAGTACCTCTGCAGAGATGGTTCGGAGGGATTCCCCGGGACCATCGAGGTGCGCGTGTGGTACATCGCTAGCAACGAGGACGCCAAGACCGTGCTGACGGCCGAGTACGAGGTGGAATTTGTTGGCAACGAGTACGAGGTGGAATTTGTTGGCAACGAGTGCGAGGAGACTGTAGTTAATATCACCAACCACAGGTAGATCTAGCCCCTTCCCCCTTCAAAGCTGATGACGACATTCAATCTTGAAATTGGAGCTATTCCCCGCTGACCAAGCTTCCCCCCACCTCTCACAGCTACTTTAACATTGGCGATGGCCCCGATATTTCAGGCACCACCGCCCAGCTCGCTACAGCCGACTATCTGCCCCTCGATAGCACGGGCATTCCCTCGGGTGAGATCGCCAAGTTCCCGCGGGACGTGACAGCCCCGTTCGCGCTCGCCGCAACCGGCGCACACTTCGACGACGTCTTTGTGCTCGAGTCCGATCCTAGCAAAATCCCCCTGGACACTCGTGGCTTACCGCTACGCCGTCTAGCCCAGTTTAGCAATGCAAGCTCGGGCCTACATCTCGAA